AATGGTCTGCAGTAGTATAGTGGTTAATATCCCATTAACAAATTTATTTTTAGGTTAACTCTCACAACAATTCATTAATTACAAATACTAATTCGTTTGTTATAATCATCGATGGCTGGTCAAATATCAGAAATGATTCAATAGTTAATATTTGTGTTTGTTTGCCAAAACCTATTTTTTATAAAAGCATTGATATGGAAACTCGAAGACATTCAGGAGAAGAATTGGCTAATATTACTGAAGAAGTTATTAACGAATTAGGTAATAATATTTAATATATATATATTTTTGGGGTACTAACCATTATACTACTGAATATTTTTTTAGGTGTTAACAAGTGTTCAGCAATAATTGCTGATAATGCACGAAATATGTCAAATATGTCACAACGTCTTAAAGAAAAATATCCACATTTGTTGACATTTGGTTGTGTTGCTCATATACTAAATCTTTTAAGTCAAGATATCTGCACAAGTGTGACATATTTTAATGAGATACTTAAGATAACTCGTTCAATAACTGTAGAAATAAAAGATTCTCATTTAAAATTGGCGTTATTTCGTAGATTAGCAAAAGAGAATAAAATCAATTCACTAGTATTAGGGAGCAACACACGGTAAAAATTATTCTTCAGTAATATAGTGGTTAATATCCTATTTTAATCTTTAGATGGTATTCAAATATTAAACAAATGAAACGAGTTTTTAATGGAAAAGAAGTGCTACAAAAAATGGCAATCGATTCCTCAATTAAAATAAATGCTGACATCAAAAAGTATCTCTTGGATACAAATGACAGGTTTTGGACGGATCTGATGACAACAATTAATGTTTTGAATCCAGTTGCAGATGCAATAGCAATCATTGAATCAGATAAAGCAACACTTTCCGATACTATTATTGTTTTTAACAACATATATACATCTATTTTAAACTCATCAATTGATTGCAATATGAAATCTCAGGTTATCTTCAGTAGTATAGTGATTAATATCCCAAAAATTATGTTTTAATAATCTTTTTTTATTTTAGATTTTAAATCATTTCACTAATCGCAAACAAATGGCAGTTTCTGATGCTAATTATTTAACAAATATTCTTGATCCAAGATATAAAGGATTGGATTTGACCGATGAAGAGAGATTTTCGGCAAATAAATATCTCTACGATTATATTGATTCTATTGGTTTTTCAGATAAACTTACAGATATCAAAATTGCATACAACGATTATAAATCAAAAAATGGTAATATTTTTATTTTTGGGGATCTAACCACTATACTACTGAATATTTTTAGGGTTTTTTGCAATTGATTCATTGTGGATAAATATTAAAAATGTGATTCAATGGTGGACTGAATTCAAGGAATATAAGAAATATAAGGATTTATCTAATATTGCAATTAGATTATTGTCAATCCCTCCATCATCTGCTGCGGTTGAGAGAGTGTTTTCAAGTTTTGGAGACATTCATACTAAAAAACGTAACAAATTGACAAATGAAAGAGTTGCCAAATTAGTTTCAATACGTACACATTTTAAATGTATTAATAATAATTTAGAAGATTCATCTGAATCAGAAAATGAGTCTTAATTTTATATGATATAATAAATATTAATTCATTGATTATATGTGCAAATTTTATTAAATTTTTATACATTCCCTCATGCGCGCAATTTCACGCAATTTCACGCAATTTTCCGCAATTGCGGCAATCGAAAATTGGATTGCGTAAAATTCCCAACACTAACTATATTATAATACTTATAACCTTTATACTTTATATATGTCAATATTTATTCATATATTGTACTGTACTTTATATGCTAGTAAATACCATTAACTAAATGGGCCTCAAATATATAAAGTTTCAAGGTTCAATAAAAGTTAACAAGTAGATTGCTTAAAACAATTATTCAAAAATATATATAATTGGGTTTATTTAACAGCATTATATCTAGTGCTAAATAATAAAAATGATTTTTAAAAATGTTTTATTTTTTAAAAGATATCTTAATATAATCAATTAAAATTAACAATATTTGATAACATTACAGAACTTTTAAAAAATTATGTATTATTATGATTTTAAAATATTTTTACACTTAAACATTTCATTTAAAAATCAAATTATTTTTATTAAAAAAATTGATTTGTTTTAAGATTGAATTCTTAATATAAAAATATGTACTGTATTTTGTGCACATATTATTATTTTCAACAATTGGATAATAATAAGATACTATTGGTTACAATGTATGATTATACAATACAATACATTGTATATTGAAAATTATTAACATTCATTTTTAATTATTTGATTTTTTTGGGTTCATTATTACATTTTATTATCATAATGCTCTCAATAAAAATTACATAAACATTTTTATTGGCAGTTATTTAGTGATAAATAAAATTTAATTTACATAACATTTCACAATATATATATATAAATTTATATATACTGTATATATAAATAATTCTTATTTAAAAAATACTTTATTATATTAAACTATACAAAATAATATCAAATATTCATAATTTATTTACAAATTTTGTTTATATATATAACTGTATTTTATTTTTAAATTAATTATATAAATTTTAATAATCATTTTTATCATAAAATTTATATAATAAAATAATACAGTTTATCATAATAGATTGCAGCATGTAAATTTAATACATTATAGTACAGTACAGTAAAATAATGAATGATAAATATAAAAATAAGATTATCATTTCATTGATTTAATGTTATACCGTATAACTTATACTTCAATTGATGCATATTTTTAATTAAAAAAAATTATAATCACAACGAAAATAAAAACTACATTTTGTTGATATATTTTGATAAATAAAAACCAATAAAATAATCATGATGCATAAATTTAATATAATTGATAATTAGTATCATATAAATGCTAGTAAAATGCCTATACATTCAAACTATACAAATGTTTTATTTTCTAAAAAATAGATATATAATAAAAATAATAAAATCAATCCATAATATTATGTTTTCAAAAGAGGTTTGCTTAATATTATTACTACTATTATATAATATTATAATTTATAATATTTAAATATAAATTTATACAAATAAAATTCTATAAATGCATTTAAATTTTTATATTTAATAAACATATAAAGTATTATAACCTTGAATTTAAATATTATTTTTTTGTAATTACATTAAAACTACTAAAAATAAATAAATAAAGGATTGCATTTTTTTAAAAATATTTTTGTTATTGTTAGTACTCACTCTTCCGTTAAAATCTACTAAATTACAAAAATATATACTCTTTCAAACATCATATAACAGTAGAAAAACATAAAAAAGAAAATAACAATTTGTAATTAATATTATAGTAAATTACATAACATTTGGTAAATTTAATTAATAGTTAAATAAATAAAGTACTGGAAATTGTAGTCAATTAGGATAGTCTCCTATCTATTCAAATCAAACCCATTCCATACATCGCTTGACACCATCGTGTTGTCGACCACAGGCCTTATCGCCACAACAGTCCTCAGCTTTAATACAGGTTGTGTTGTTTGGTAGACATGGTTTGCCTAAATTACGAGCTTTTAATAATAATATTAATAATAATAAATGTTTATTAATAATTTTTAATATAAATATAAATCATTAGAAAAAATTAGATAAAATAACAAAAATTGTTGCATTTTTATTATATAAATTTATATATATTTTTCTAAAATATTGGTACTATTCTTACAATCGCCAAACTGGACCATAGTTTGCAAACATAGTATTGTTGCGAATACAGTGAGACAAACAATTTTTATAAGAGTTGTCATTATTTTTATAAAAAATTATTTTTTAAACTAAAGACTTTAAATGTTTAGAAAAATAACAAAAATGATAACTTTTCGTGAAATACTCCAACAATACAATGTCTGTCAATATTATAAGTCATTTAATTTATAGTTTGTTTTTCAATTATAAATATTGCAAAATCACTGCTTGAAAAACAAGCATCTGATACATAACCCGACAATTACTAATTTTTTAAATTTTGTATACAAACAGTTAGTATTTAATGTATAAATTATCAAGAAAAAATATAATTGATTAAAATCTAATAATATTGTCAGTATGAATAAATTATACAATAGAAATAATATATACAATAATACTATTGTCATATACATATATATATATATATATTGTTAATAAAAAAATATATACATACAATAGATTTATAATACAATACATATATATATATATATATATCAAAAAATACTAACAAAGAAAATTTTTTTAAAATCACCCTAAATTTAATACATAATATACTGCTGTAGTATATATATCATTAGTGCGAAAAATCCAAATTTCTCTCCTAAAGCATAGTATATTACAGTATAAAATTTTCCCCATCGAGAGCCAGAATTATAATTTTTTGATATCTGCTATTACCTAACATAACATAAATAGTATTATATTGCAGTGGTTTTCGGCGCTCAACGCATTGATAAATATTCTGTAATCACTGATTACTCATTATATAAGTGGATAATTATTAGTGGATTATAGTAGATAATTATAATTATTAACACACTGTATATATATATATATATATAATTTATATAACAATAAACAACTAATTTAACCAAGTACAATCAATACAATCAATAAAATCAATACAATCAATACAATCAATACAATCAATACAATCAATACAATCAATACAATCAATACAATCAATACAATCAATACAATCAATACAATCAATACAATCAATACAATCAATACAATCAATACAATCAATAAAATCAATATAATATAAGTTTTACATAATGTTTAAATATTTCGGACATTATTGACTATAAGTGTGACGTACTTAATGTCAGTCTATTATAACAATAAAAATCAGTCACTATTTAAATATTGTATTAAATGTATTGACAAACAAACATGTATTGCATTTATAGTCTATGCAATCATTTTCAATACAATGCAATGCATATCATTGGTCAACACATTGTATGGTATAATCAGTGCATATGTAGTGATAGTCTATTCATTCAATGTTTGGCCGTTTGGCTCTCAGTTTGCATTCAAAACAGTATTTAGTTTTCAATTTAATAAATATTATCAAATTGTTTGACATTTAATATTATAATTAATATTGTGTTTCATCACAACTACTATTAGTTTATTATAAACTATTTATCAGTTTTATTGACAAAATAATAAAACAATTTGCAATTTGAATGTGATTTCAATTTTGGATTTAAAGTCATTTGAAATTATTATATTTGTCTGCATTTTTGGGTAAGTTTTTTGTTTATTTAATCAAAAATCAAAATAATTTATAATTTTATTCATTATTTTATAAATTTATTTATTTAACAAATGATTTACAATTTTTTTCAATAATATAATTATTAAATTATTTATTTATCAAATTATCCACAAAAAAATGTCTCAAAATATTAAACATTGATGCAATTGTTTGCATTCAACTCCCCTTATAATCATATAAAAAGTCCAAAAAGTTTAAGGTTTTACAGCCGAAACATTTGGTCCTATTTTAAATTATGTCCCAAAATATTTTACTTGTGTTTATTAGGAAAACTTGTTTTTCAAATTTGTTTTTTTCCTAAGATTTTTAATATTTACTGTTATTTTTGTGAACCATATTTTTGTATTTTTTTAAAAAAAAATTATAACGCTTTATAAACTATAATTTACTGTAAAAATAGATAAAGATTAAACTTATAATAGTTTTCAAATAAAAAATAATATATTATTATTTATTATAACATTTGAAGCCTATATCATATAGAGTTATATTTTGATGTCTATTATCGCATATTAATTATAGACATTATTGACATTGATTATTTTTACTTTTGAAAACTTTTTTTTAGTTATTTATTATTATGTGAATTGTATATAATGTTTCATAATATTATATTCAATTTATAATACTGTATGATAATTAATAAAATAACCTTGATAAATATTGAAGTGGTACCGTTTTTATACATAACAAATTAATCCTATATTCTAATCAAAGGGCTTAACTCATTTTGGTTAATATAATAAAGTTAAGTCTTTTTTGTTTGTAAAATAATCTCAAAAATTTATAAATTATTTTATATAAATTATAATAAATACTGTAAATTGTAATCTATTTTTAAATAATACTGTTCTGCTGCAATAAAAGTGAGAATTATACTGTATTGAAAAGTAACTTTATATTTGTGCGACCCATTGTAATATTTACAAATTTTGTTTGTTGACAAAATATAACAGTCATTACTAGTCTTCAATTGTGTTATTAAATATTTGTGATATCTCTTGTGATGGAACCGTTAGAAGGCCTAAACTCACATGACGTTCGGGTGAGATATGCCATGGAATATGAATATCGTCGCGGAACTCCACCATCAATAGCCGCAGCAAATATCAATGAGGTCTACCCGAAAGCCGTTGGTGAGAGCACATGTTATCGTTGGTGGAAGAGATGGAAAGAAGAAGGGGTTAATGTAGAAGACAAAGAAAGACCAGGACAACCATCGAAGATTGACAACGAAGTATTGACGGATCTGATTGAAATGAATCCAAAATTTTCAACTAAAGAGCTCGGTGATATACTTGAAGTTGATGCTACTACCATTCAAAGACATTTGAAAGCCATTGGCAAGAGATATGTGTCATCTGTTTTGGTACCACACGATCTCACTCCTCAGCAAATGGCAAAACGTGTAGAAGTATGCCAACAATTGCTTTCTCGAGAGAATTCTGACGGTTTTATAAGACATATGATAACCGGTGATGAAAAGTTGATATACTATGTCAACGCTGATAAAAGGAGTGAATGGAGAAGTCCGGAACAACTACCTGTTGGGACACCACGACCAGATTTTCGTCAACAGAAAGTAATGTTGTCTGTTTGGTGGGATAAGACGGGAATAATCCACTGGGAACTGTTGGAAGTCGGAGCCACTATTACAGCTGAAGTCTATTGTCAACAATTAACAAGACTTCGTGATAAGCTTTTCGAAAAGCGTGGTTCATTGATAAGATATTGGGGCGTTAAGTTTCAACAGGATAACGCCCCATCACATACTGCAAAGAAGACCAAAGATCTATTGAAGGAGTTTGGGTGGGATGTTGTGGATCACCCACCATATTCACCAGATATTGCTCCTTCAGATTATTATTTGTTCCGATCAATGCGACACTTTCTTGATGGAAAAAAATTCAAAAATCGAGAAGAGGTCAAAATGGCAGTTCAAGAGTTTTTCGATTCACAACCAGAGGAATGGTATTCCAAAGGAATTTATGAGTTGCCGAACAAATGGAGAGATGTCATAGATTTAAATGGCGATTATATTATTAATTAATAAAAATTAACTTTTTTGTAAAATCAAATTAAAAACTTGCTATTTTATTCTCATGATTATTGCAGCGGATCAGTATATAGTATTTATATTACTATAGCCCGGAGTCTATTGTTAGGTAAACATAAACTTTAATTATTTTAGTCTATAATTTGTTTAAAAATAAATGTTTTAAGAAATAAATTTCTGATAAATAATAATAATCTTATAACAAGTGATTGATACCAATAGTCTATATATGATCCTAATGTGCTAACAGTTTTGGTACAATATATTGTAATTATATAAAATTTATTTTCCCTTATAATGATTAAGGGAAGGAAACTAAATTATTTTCCGGAAAAATTGGAGGGATTTTATTTGGGAACTTTGCTCGAACTCTAACTATTAATAACATAGATTACTATAGTCAACCTCCCTGTCCACTATATCCATAAACATGGATAGACCCGTCCAAAGAGGAACTAATATATATTTTAAGACGTTTTTTAAAGTATCGTAAATAATAACGTATTTAAAAAAATATGGGATCTTATAAAACATTTTAATGTAAATAATTTTAAACATACTTTAACATAGATTTCAGTTTTGTATTTATTTATATAAATAATAGATTAAAATATTATTTATTTTAAGTGTTATTTATTTATTTAGAAGTTGTTATTTTTATGAGATTGTGTTTTACTTTTATATTTAATTTAATTAATTTTTATAAAACGAGTTTAAATTACAATATTATGTTTACTAAATCATTGTCTATCCCTAAGTGTATATTTCACAACTTAATAATGTAATTTGAGATATAGTTGAAAGTTTAATATTTTATTATTTTCTATCATAAATCTATCATTAAGTTTTTTTAGAAAATTTTCTATAGTGAAAAATAACTAAATTTTATAATAGAAATTATTATCTTTTAATGTATCTTATATTACATGTAGTATTACGGTAAGTGAATTTTTTGGTCAAATATGATATCTAATAAATTCATATATTTTATATATTACCATGTTAATTTTATATACTAACAATAATTATGTCATAATTGTGAATATGGCATAATATTTCATGGGTTGGATTAAATGAAATATTGAATTTGTAATTATCAGATCATATTTATTGATTACAATACATTGTATTTAAACATTATATTTATTCAGACACTTAATTATATATTTTTGTTGTTAATTATATATAGTATCACTTTTTACATGTAAATTTTTTTAATACATTGTTTTAATTAGCTGTTAGCTTGTACCATATATCTACAATAAAAAAAACAATAAATTATTGATTAATATAAAAAAAAAGTTTTGTAAAACAATATTTAATTATTGTCATTATTTATTAATTTACAGCTCATAGCTATTTTGATTTCAATTATGGAAAGCCGACCACCGATTCAACCGCCAATTCCATCACCAAATGACTCGAGAGTTGCGAGAAATATTAGACCCAATCAGTCGCCAACTAATAGCTCCGACTATAACAACAATAATCTCTCATCAGTGGAGAACCAAACACACAGTTCACCACAAGTCGGACATTCACGTCGACCACATTCCGGGGTTTATCCAAACAAACTCATACGACTAGAGATGGAAAACCAGAAACTGATAAATGATGGACACCTCATGAAGGAAGACTTGAAAGAAGAGATTAACAATCTTCGCGACCAATTGAGAGTCAAAGACAAAGAGCTATTTAATGGCAAAGAGACCATCAATAACTTGAAAGAAGAGCTGAAACGACTAATAGATATGAATACTTCAACGCATAGCAAACACAACCAATTGAAGAAAATTTATTATCAAAAGGAAAAGATGTTAATTGATTTTCAGACCGCAAATGCCAAATGTAAGCTTAGAATTGAAGAACTGGAGAAACGACTGAAGGATTTTGGCAATAATAACAATTTCGCCAATAATACGCCCACTGAAGCCAATATTAAGAAACGGGTCGATGAAGAGATAAAACTGCACAGAGAGACGATCCTGAAGTTGGCTGAAAAAGATAAAAAGCTTAGCAGTCATTGTCAGGATCTGGAGAAACGAAATAAATTATATGAATCTGAAGTAAACAAATTGCGCGATACTAATGGACAGTTAACCAAAGATCTGGATCTATTGAGAAGTGGTAACTTAGATGAAATGGTTAAGATGAACAACTATATAGCAGAGATTGCTAAACTAAAGAAACAAAACTACTATTTTCAGGGAACAGCCAAAAACAATGTAAGCATTTGTTTTATAGTTATTTAACTCAAATTTTTTGAAATTAATTTTTAAACTTTTTTATAATTAGAAACGCAAATCATTGGCCAGCGATTATGTACTTCAACAACAACAGGACATCAATCAGGACGGCATCAGACAGATGACGACAAATCATATGAATATAAACGAACAAAATATTGAAGCATTTCGACAACAACTGATGGAATTGATTAATACGTTTGGGAGTAAACTTCAATCGGAACAGATTGAGAACACCGCCGAAGTGGTCGATCAGATGATGCAAAGCACTGAACAGTTACAGCAAAAGGCAGCGGTTATGACCCAAAAGTGTTCAGAGGATGGAAAAAGTGTGTCATTATAACAGATATATATAATCAGCAATTTTTTCTTATAATTTTTTTAATAATTTATTTTTTGGTATCCCTTTTATAGCTAAATGTCCCGAATGTCACAAAGAAATTGACACTTATCATATTGAACGACATCTCAATGCTATTCACCTCAAAGGTCCACAACTTGGGCTGTCCAATGTCCCGCCACCGCCGCAAATACCAATGAAATTGTCGACACCAGAGAAGAGGACAGCGACGACGGCCGGTCGACAGTTTGATCCAAAGCGACCAAAAATTATTGACGAAATATGTATTGATTCCGACTCTGACTCCGAGTAGTTATGATTGTATTGACAATTGTTTATGAATGCAATACATTATTCATAAAATATTTTGTATAAAATTTTCATTTTTTTGAAAAAATAATTAATTGTAGTCATAATATTTATATAGTCAATCATAGATTTAAAAATCATTTAACAAAACATTAATTAATATAGTTATAGCTCTCTATTTTGTTTTTAGTAATACAGTAATTCAATAATTTAAATTATATTACCCGTAGTATTAGCTTATTATCAAAATAATAATATTTATACTTTGAAAACAAAAGATAAATATTACTGTATTTTCATTATAACATACTTTATTTCATTATTATTCACTATTACAGTAAATATAAAAATAATTATATCAATTTAATCATTTAATAAATCTATTTATTCTTTATTATAGTATTTAATTTTCATAAAAATAATATGTTTATAAATATATTTTGACATTTACTGTACATTCATTACATTTTCAATATATATTTTAATTTACACAACATTATTAATTTGTAAATAGTTTTCAAACTTAATATTGATTGAAAATATTATTATTATATAATACTTATAATTTATGTAACATTTATTACTTAGAAGAAATTTGGTATTTACCGTAAAATTTAAAAAAAATCTAATTACAGTATTATTCTAAATATAAAATATAATATTATAATATTGTACAGTTACCGTACTATTATATTCTAATACAATATAAAATATTTATTTATAATTATAATATACAGTTACTATTATACTGTAATAACAATATAAAATGTTTAATAATAATATTATTCAATTACTATTATACTTTAATGACAATATAAAATATTCTACACTATTATGCAAAGATTAAAACATTTCAATTGAATTAAATGTTTTTATAACTTTATTTTAATACAATATTTGACTATAAATATTTCGAAACCTTGTACTTAAATAATAATATGTTAATTAAATCTCTAATTCCTAAACTTATTAAATATCTAAATTCACTACTGTATGTATTTGTCATTTAACAAAAAATAAATAAATAAAAACAATGACAACAAAAATTAAAAATTATTAATGATTTTGTCTGGCAATGCTAGACAATACATTTACTACTGGTTTTATACTTGACTTTTAGTGCAAATATTTTATTGTTGAAAACAATAGCGTGTAATGCTATGAATATCTTCTAATATTATGAATCGGTTTCATTAGTCTATTGTTCAATGGATTATTAAACAGTTTCTTCAATATAATCTCTAACACATAGATTGCAATACAGACACCGTTTCCAATGAGAAATAGTATGAAATTACCTTTTAATTGGATTAATGATATTTGACTGAAACTATACTTTTTCTCTTTTATCGACACTTTTTGCTCCGATCTGGTCCTTACGTTCAACGGATGCAATGTCTTATAAATATCATTCATAAATATACCGCTTTGTATGATATGGCTTATCCTACAAATATACAAAAGAAAAATTAATATTTATTATTAAATTATCAATAATTATAAATAGTTTTCAAATAAATTATCCAAACGTTATGTCAAACTTCTTGGCCAATGTGTCATTCATTATATTAGGATTGGATGCTATGAACACCGGTTGAGAGGCCGATCCGTATTCAGAGATATGAAAGTCAACATCTTCTCTATAACCCATTTCAATGATATTATCTTTGATTGCTTGTAAAAAGTCTCTGTTGTGCACCTGTACTAACCAACCATTCATTACTCCATTATAATCGATATCTTTGTCAAAAATTTTTTTGCCAAAAATATAGTCCAAAGGATTGAGTAGTTTAACAAATCGGCGTTTGAAGTCCTGTGCCATTGGATTGTTGCCATTGTCTGGATTGTTGGCAAACAAATACATATCCAAATTGATATAAGTCTGTATTTTTAGGTCCTTCCACTTGGATTGCGAATACAAGTCACTCCACGACTCGATCTGATAGATTGGCTGCGATCGCACCAATAGATTCCACAATTGACCCGAAAAGGCGGTCATTAAGACAAAACATGAGATCAACCAAATGGCTGTCAATAATCTTTCGTTTCCTTTCGTTTTATTAAATGAATTGCATTGCGATAACAATACCGATGAATATTTCCACATAATATTTGTGAATAATGAAAATGTTTTTTGTTTAAACAAACAATTTATAGCACATATGATTAAAAGTGATACAAATGTCGCTAAATATACTTCAATGTCAAGACAAAAAAATTGATTGAATAGTTCCCATTCACCTTAAATTTTACAATTTAATTAATAGTTATTATTATTTAAAAAAAAATTTAATAAATTTAAAGTAAAATAATATTTTCAAAAATAAATAGCAAACCTTTTTTAGTTTTGGCTAAAATTCTTGCCTCGTCTTTATAATCAAAATATCTGGCAATACGTGCACCGCCTCTGACTCTGAGATTAATGAGATCCCATTGGGGGGCAGTAATCGGCATTGACATTAAATGAGCTTGGTCGCCAAAAAAATTATGCAATACTGTTCCAAGGTCATATATTTGTTTGAGAAATATCAATCTATTATATTATTATATAATATAAAAAATATTATTATTAATATACTGTATATTAATTAACCTATTATTTACTTTGCGTTAATTCTTTTGGCAAATACTTTAAATATAGTCATCAATGGTCCGCACCATTGAAAGTGTAGTATCGATGCATTCGTATCGATTGAATTTCTAACTGTCCATTCAGTGTAAAATATATACGGCGGATAAGCACTGGGCTCTATGACAATCACCAAATCGGATGTTTGACCACTTTTATCAAATGTGATAACTCTACCGTTTGGAGTATCGGTAAAGTTATAACAATTAAAGCGATTGTTTATAATATTTTGCATTTTTCAAAACAATAAAGTGCAGACTATATTTAATAGTATAGAATTTATTAATGTGCAATAGAAAAATTATTAAACTATTTTTTATCAATTATTCACAATAATAAATTTAAATACTACTTACTAAAAACAGATAAATGCAATATAATAGCAAAATACTGTATATTAAATAATTAATATAGTTTATTGTTATAAACATTTAATTATTTAGTTTACATTTAAGTTTACATCAATTTTTGAATAGTGAATCGATTTTTTGATTACTATACTTAGTTTTACAATCAAAATAATATTGGAAAAATATAATTTTATTGATAAAAAATAGATAGTTATTATAGTAAACAAAATCTGTTTAACTAAAAGTTTATATATTTGATTGAAAATTATTTTTATATTATATCATTAAGTTTAGAAAATATATTTTACCATACATAAAAATTGCACAATATAATTAATTATTTATTCTATAATTAAACATTAATTCTATTTATTTTCTATTTATATTAATAACAAATAAATTATTTATTTTATAATAAATTTATCTATTTGTAAATATTAAAAACAGTATTTATCAATTAATTATTTTTCAAAAATATAAAATAAGTTACATTTTCACACAAAATTATTAGTATTGATAACATTTTGACAAATAGAAACAAATAAAATAAACCAATCAATTGAGCTAGGTCAATAATTTTGAATTCATATTTATTATTATTTAATATGATTTCATATAAATTTGGACCAAATTTTCTCGGGTTTAATGTTCGTCTAATATACTCATTATATAAACCGCTCTCCAATACGACTGAAATACTGAGATTTCATCAAAAAATTAAATTAACATTAAATATATTTAGATAAAAATTATCATAAGTTTAAATAATGTTATTGATATTGATTTTTTAAAAATTATTGATTACAATTAACATAAATACAAAATATTTTATTAAAATTATTAAAGATTAGTTTAAATGATACATACGCTAAGTTCCAATAGTAAACCGTATAGTTGTCAACAATTGCCGAATTATATATATTAAAGTATGGTTGAGGAGTATTGCCTTCTAGGGATATATGAAAGTCCCTGTCCTCCTCTAAGCTATAGTTATCGATTAAATTCTTTTTTATTATATTTAAAAATATTAGATCTCCAACTATAGCTACCCGTCCATTGGCTGTCATATTATAATTCATATCTATATCATAACTTTTAGCGCCACTCATAAAATCGGCATCACTTATAAGATCCACAAATTTTTCATTAAATTTAATGGCCATTAGATTGTCTTTATAATTGTTTACAAAATTTCTCATATCATCCGCTTCGAGAGTATCTATCATAAGATCTGATTTGTATAAGTCATACCACGAATCAATAAATGTGATATTTTTTGGTTTCATTATCTGTGTCCACATTTGTCCGGAAAATGCGGCCAACAATACGGTGCAAGTAATGAGCCATAGACTGGACAATAATCTATTGATACCATAATTTGATTTGTGAAACATGTAATAGTCGGACAGTATTACTGATAAATATGACCAGAATATGGCCATAAAATTCTTAAATGATTTATTGTTCAGAGCAGTAGTAACTAGCGATATAGCCGTCACCGACAACATGATTGCATAGTATATCTCAATATTGAAACATTTGAAATGATGAAATATCGGTTGTTTAACTACAGTTATATTATGATTAAAAATTAAAAATTTAGTAAAACATTATAACATTAATAATCATAGTAGAGAGGGGGACCTATTTGAGTGGCAGCCATAATCCTGGACTCCTGTATTATGCCAATAGTACGCGATAAACGTGGCAGATCTGCCCGTTTCATATCAGGTATATCAGCAATATATCGATCATATTGTAGACCTCTCAGTGCCATTAGTCCAATGTGTGGCATTGCACCTACACCTTCTTGTAGGTATTTTTCTATCATAGACTCTATGATCATTGCTGGTAATATTTCAACCCTAGTGTTGACAAAAAAGAGAAATTTATAAAATAATAGAGAAATTTCTAGAAAGTTTCTAAAAAAAATTTCTATTTATGGGATCCCCATGGTTAATTTTGTTTTCTCGATATTTGTTATCTTTAACATTGTTTTTATAAGTAATATTTAAATATTAGTATCAGTATTTTAATTATTAATTAAAGTAAAAAAATTATTTATTTAATTATATTAAACTATGATATAATAAAATGGTGAATAAAATTTTACAAAACTGATTATTATTAAATAATTATAATTAATTATATAGGTATCCCATTTGTATAATATAGTATTATACAGTAATCTACATTATATAGTATAATATTATATGTATAGTAGTATCGTCTCATTAATATATTTATAGTTTTACAATATCTATAGATATGGGGATCCCATAGTATAACAAAAAAGTTAAATTTCTATAGAAATTTATTCCTGAGAAACTTTCTAGAAACTTTCTCAGGGAAATTTATTAGAAACTTTCTATTTGCCCATCTCTATTCAACCCTAATAAAAACAATAAATGTTTCTATTATATGTAAATCTAGCAAATATATGAATGCATACTATCTATAAAATTATACTAATATATTAAATTATACTAATATATTACATTATATTGTTTTACTAATTTATTTATATAACATAATATATTAATAATATACCAAATATACCTAAAATTGTTAAAATTAACAAAACACTCGACAATTAACATCATAGGACCGCACCATTCATAAGCTAAAACTGTTTCATTAGAGGTGACGGTTTGATTCCATTCATAATACATTATATGTGGTATATAATGATAGGGTTGTACTTTGATGACAGTGTTATTTATAATGTTTAAATTATTATTATTATTATTATTATTATTAAATGAATTATTATTGTTAGAAAATATATAACAATTTTTACGATTTTGATATACAAACTCCATAAATTTAGTCAAAATAATTAATAAATTTTTTTAAATTGTAAAACCAAATCAAATTAATATATAAAATTTAATTTCACATCTGATAATAGAATATAACAATTAATTAAAAAAATATACAATAAATAATTCTTTTATGACATTTTAATACAAAATAAAAAATAAAATTAGAAAACATTTAATATTTTTATTAGTAATTAATAATAATTTATAATTAATTATTTTTGAATTACACTTAATAATTGATTGTTTTTATTATAATTATTAAAAAGATAAATTAATACATATTTATTTCAATTAATATCAGTAGTACATTGTATGTATGATTTAATTATTATATTATTTGAAATCTATAAAAATACACATTAGATTAATTTCTAATTGTAAAGAATCTGTACTACAGATATAATAAAATATTGAATGTTATTATATTAATTGCATTTAATAAAATTTTTAAACATTAAAAATTTCGTCAATAAATCATAGTAAACAAAAAGATATGTGTAATACTGTATAATAGTCTACATTATATGCAAATATAATTTAATAATATTTGGGCGTTAGTTATTGCGGTTATTTAATTTACAAAACATTTATAGTGTAATGAATTGTATACTTTTAGAATAATAATAATAATATTATTAATATTACATATTTTTATTGCTATATTATGAAATTTGTATTTTCAAAATTTTTAATTTATATTGTAATTGAAGATTTAAGATAATCTTAATAGTAGTCAACAAAAAACAATAGAAGATATTATTAATAAGGCGTTGTTCACATATTACGTTCGCAGTTTTTAAAAAATCTAGACCCCCTCCCCCCTATGTTCGCAATTGTTCGCATGTAATGATATTTAAAAATTACGTTCGCATGTCCTTAACCCCCCCCACCATTTAAATAAATATTTTATATAATTATTTTCACTTTTAAAATAATCAAATAATAAAATAAATTAATATTATTCAAAAGTCATATATTTATTCAAAATTAGTTATTAAACCGTTTATCAAAGGATTAAGTTTACTCAAAATTAATCCCTTAAATTCATTCATTATTTAAATGCGAACGTTCTTATAGACTTTACCCCCCTCCCCCCTCGTTCGCAAAAGTTCGCTTTGGCTGACACCCCCTCCCCTCAAGTGCGAACGTAATATGTGAACAACGCCTAACCTATTTGTGTTAATTAATACATTTGTATAATTTTTATAAGATTAGTCTAATAATTTAAACAAAAAATTATTATATTTTAATTTATTTATTGAATTTTTGATGACTATGATTTATATATTGATTTTACAGCCACTTTAAATGTTTAATTTAATTACATTAAAAAACTTACTGATAATAACAAATATAACCAAATAATTGATAATTATTTCAAATACAATAAATATTAAACCTAAACTAAATATTAACTCAAAATATAAGACAAACATTTTAAACAATGAAATACTTTGTAAATTGTAATCAACTTTAGTGTCCAAATAGTACACAAACTTTTTAAAACTGATTAACTTTTGAAATCTTTTATCAAAAATTCCGTTTTCAGTCATTAGTGAAATACTGTAAAAATAGAAATAAATATAAAAATCCTTTATATAAATATTGATATATAAAGTCTAAAATTGTTTAAAGATATTACTTTAAATTAAAACTAAATTACATTTTATTTAAATATTTTAAGTGATGAGAAGTCATACGAATCTTATTGTAAACCATGAAAGAGGGCTGAGATAATACACTGTCATGTGATATATGATAATCAATATCTTCAATAAATCCATGTCTATCATTGTAATGGCGTTTAATTAATTTTAGAAATACTTGATTGAATACCTGAGCTGTTTTGCCATCGATGACTGTATGGTAATCAATATCTTTGTCTAAATTGGTATCATTTTTACTAAAAAATTTTGTGATATCGATGACATTATTAATAATACGATTGAATAGATTGGATGCTTTTTCCGATACATTTTGTTGGTGTAGATTCTCGACATAGAGATAAAATTGACCATTTTTGAAGGTTTGTATCTCCAGGTGCTTCCATTGAGGCTTATCATACAAATCATGCCACGAGTCGACCCAATCGACAGGTGTGGGCCTTATCTGGACGTCTCTTAACAGTCCAGAAAATACGGACAAATATATCGTACATAATATAAGCCATAAAGAAATTAAAAGTCGGTTTGTTGTTAGACTAACTATTCGTAAGTTATAATAATCAGACAATAGGACAGAGCTCAGTGACCAAAATGTTTTCATAAATTGAATTAATGACCAGTTATTGATATTTATCATAATTGATAGTACTGTCAGTGTTATGAATATAAGGTAATAATTTTCACTATATAGACAGTTAAATATTTCAAATATAGACCATTGCTCTTATAGAAAATTTAGTTAATTAATTTAAATAACATTATTTAATTGTTAATTTTAAATTGTATTTTAAAGAAATAAATTTAAAATATTGTTAGAAATAATAATATAAATTTATAATTATGATGATGCTTACTTTTTATATTAAACACTAGTACAAATTCACCAAGTGAATATGTACAATATCTAGTATATCCAATATAGGGTTGACCTTTAGGTAGTTTATTGGTTAACAAGTCGTTAAATACAATGCTAGTCATCGGCATTAATAATAAGTGAATTAGTGATGAAAAGTTGTTTGCGTTATAACTATCAGAATATTTTTCAATAATATTTAAACCGTATGAACCACTCAATTCTGGCAGTACTAGTAAACTGTATTTAAATTTACAATAATTGAATAAATATATTTTATAATATAATACTAATTATGATAATGTAAATAAAAAATATTATATAAGTTATTGGTATATATAATAATTATAATAACTCACTTGATTTTTGCTAATTTAGCAAAATGTGTTATCATTAACATCAATGGTCCACACCATCGATAATGCATTACATGTTTGCCATCACTTTCATCAACTATTTCAGTATATGTGACAAATGGTGGTGAAAATTTTGGCATTATCTCTATATAATGGGATTTATTTATATTATTTGGATGACTGTAATAATAAATTGAACCATTTACTGATGTATTAAATATTGTACAATCTATATATGAATTTAAACCAAAATCGTTAAATGTTAACAACATTGTTGATTACTATTAATATAACAAAAAAATATTTATTTAAAATAATCTTTACAATATAAAATAACTAAATTATATAATAATATTTTACTCTTATATACTATAATTAATGCTAAAAAAATACATAAATATTATTTGAATAATTTAATAAACATATAATAGACTATTATTATGCTAATTTAAATAGTTTCTTTTTATTTTAATACAGAATATGCATTATTTTTAAATATTTCATAATATTTGTATGCTTTTACAGTATATTTTAATTAGTTACACATTATAAAACAATATAATAAAAATGTAAATTAATCAAATGATATTGTTAATTTTATTTCAACATATATTTGCAATATTGTAATATTTATTATACACTAACATAATATACAATAATAAATAAAATAAAATTGCTTAATGTGTTGACTAAAATAACTTTATTGTTGGTAAAGTAAAACAAAAATTATAATATTTAAATAAATATAACTTTACATATTTAAAAATATATTATTGTTAATTAACTAAATTAGAATAATAATAGTAAATAAATATTAAATATATTCATCAATATTAAGCCATTTATTAAGTATATCTTTTGGTTGACAATCATGTAGTGCTCTGAGTGCTGGCCAACCGGTCTCTTGGGATGACAATACATATGTATTGTTTGGATCCAATTGGTAAAAATGCGCACCGGTAGCCAGTGATTGACATAAACGCGCTTTTATACAGTACTAATCATAGTTGTAAATATGATTTTTTTGTTAATTAATAAAAATAATTTAATAATAAAAGTTTTTATAGTATTCAAAAATCTTACATAAAGTACATCCAATTCATTAGTATCTAAGTCTATGAGTTGCATATAGCCTTTCAGTCCAAACCCGGGCGCCAGTATCTGTGGTCCGGCCGTAAACATTAGCAAAGAGTAGGCAAGATATACAGCCAAATCAAAAACCCGGGGTCCGTACTCGGCATCACCAAAATCTATAAGTCCGGTCATATGATATTCATTATCAGTATCATCATCCCTGTCCCCCACAGTTTTGTCAACAATTATATTAAATTCATTATAATCTCCGTGAATATAAGCATATTTTAGCTCATGTACTCTCAATAAGACTAAACTTTCAAATTGATCTAAACATTCATTAATAAGTTGTCTATCATTTAAGTCTTTGACATCAGTTATATATTGTCTGCTATCCACTGATCTCAACAAACTATACGGAAATTGTCGCTCTTTTAATGACATATTTTCAAAGTCCTTCAAATATAAAAAATAAAACAATAATTAATTTTATGATACAAATGTTTGGCTAAATTATTAATAACAACAAAATGAAATTATAAATTATTGTATTACAAGTGTTGCAATAGTATTAGAAAATAGCAATACCTTGAGTGCAATTGTCATCTTTGCCAACATTAGTCCGCATTCAGTCAATATTGTTGGTGTGAACGGTACATATCGGAGTGGTTTTCCCGGTATATACTTCATCAGTATAATAGCATATGATTTTTGTCCATTGATTTGATCCAACTCGCCATCAGTTGGTATGTCTGTATATGACATATATTCAGCGTTTGTATTAACCATAGGAACTGTCACTTTGAAACCATTGTTATGTAAATGTAGTATAAATGCGTTGATGGCATCTAAAAGAAAAAATATTAATTTATTAATTTATGATTTATTACACACAGAGAGACAATTCATACCAATTTGATCCCTATTTTTAGATTCCAATTGATTCTTAATTTTCAATATAAACTCTTTCGACTCGTTTGTTATTAAATGATAATTGCGATCATTATAACTGATCAGCTCTTTAATGTAATTAATGTCAATATTGTAGAGACGTTTTGCCAATTGTTTGACATAATCTAAATTATTTGGTGGACGAGTAGTCATTTTGAAATAATTTTAAAAAAAATTATTTTGTAGTTATTTTTATAGAAAGAAACTTATCTTATTTAAAATGTTAGTATTTTTTGATAATAAATTTATTAAATATTATAATTCAAGGTTATATTCAAGAATTTTTAAACTAAATTTTTAATGATTTATTAAATATTTTATTAGTAATATATTTTGTAATTGTTTAGTAATTTAAAATACTATAGTTAATATATTAACTACTTAAAATTAATTTTATTATTAATTAAAAATAAATTATTTTATTATAAACACTTAAATAACATCATTTATTTAGATAAAATATTTAATAAGAGAAAATGTTTAATAAATATTTTATTTTTAATTTAAATAACTCTTTATTTAAAATTATTTTTAATAAAGAATTTGTTAAATAATATTATTATATATTAAGTTTCATACAATAAAATTCAAATTAATATTACAAATATTCATTAATATTAAGCCATTTTTTAATTAAATCTTTTGGTTGACACTCATGTAGTGCTCTGAGCGCTGACCAACCGGTCTCTTGGGATGAAAATACATATGTATTGCTTGGATCCAAACGGATGGTATGAACGCCGTTGACCAGTGATTGGCATAAACGCGCTTTTATAGAGTACTAAACAATAGTTTTAAATTAAAAAAAAACAACAATTATTTTGTCTAAAGAATATATAAATGACTAAATATCATACATAGAGCACATCCAGTTCATTGCTGTCCATCTCTATGAGCTGTGTATAGCCTTTTATGCCAAAACCGGGCGCCAATATCTGTGGTCCGGCCGTAAACCAAAGCATTGAATGGGCCAGATATACGGCTAAATCAAAAACCCTGGGCCCGTACTCGACATCACCAAAATCGATAAGTCCTGTCATATGATATTCATCATCCCTGTGCTCACTATCTTTACCAACAATTATATTAAATTCATTATAATCGTCGTGAATGTATGTGTGTCTCAGTTCATGTACTATCGATAAAACCGATTCATTGAATTGATCCAAACATTCATTGATGAGTTGTCTTTTGTCTACTTCCTGGACATCTATTAAGTATTTTCTAATATTCAATGCCCTCAACACTCCGTACGGAAATTTACGACTCTTGAGAGCCGGCGCTTCAAAATCCTTTAACAAAAATATAAGTATTAATATTAATATATATTAATTTATATAATAAATCTAAGATTTATTAAATAAAAATAAATTAATATAAAAGTACTTATAATTAAATAAATTTTAAAAATATAACTGAAAATATATTTGCAAACTTTGAGTGCAATTGTCATCTTTGCCAACATTAGTCCGCATTCAGTCAATAATGATGGTGTGAACGGTACATATCGGAGTGGTTTTCCCGGTATAAACTCCATCAGTCTAACAGCATATGGTTTTTGTCCATTGATTTGATCCAACTCACCATCAGTTGGTATGTCTTCATACGATATATAGTCACCATTTGTATTGATAACAGGAACTGTCACTTTGAAACCTTTGTTATGTAAATGTAATATAAATGCGTTGATGGCATCTAATAATATATGTAAAGTAATTAATTAAATGCATAAGTATTTTATTTTCAAAATTATATGATTACATAATGGGCTCATTTGATACCTATTTCATCCTTGTGTTTGGCCTCAACTTTATTAGTAATTTTCAATATAAACTCTTTTGATGATTGGTTTGTTATTAAATGATAATTGCGGTCATTATAACTGTTCAACTCTTTAATAACATTGGTATCAATACTGTAAAGACGTTTTGCTAATTGTTTGGCAAACTCTATATTATTTGGCGGACGATTTGCAGTCATTTTGTTAATACTTAATAATAATACAGTAATAATAAATTTATAAAACAATTCAATAACTTTAAAATAGCATTTGAAACCAATTAAGAATACTAGAAAGCATTATCAGAAAAAAACTTCTTCGCTTTAAAATATTATGTTCGAAAATTGTCAGTTGACTCGGTTTGACAAAATAAACTTAACTATAGTCACGTGGGAAATCAAATGATTCAGTATGACAAAATAAACAGTTAAAATCATACTTTTGCCGCCATTTTTGAAAAAATAAATTAATGTTTAATATATTATATTTTATTTTTAATGCTCTATATAATTCTAAACGTTAAAATTTTTACCTAAAATTTTTTATCTTTGGCCGCCATTTTATCTATGTTCCCGAATAGATATCAAAATTTTAATGCAATCTTTCAATACATTATTAGTAGTCCTCTAACCGAATCTGAAGTCAGAATTTCAAAATTCGAAAAAATATGTTACAGACACACACACACAGACACACACACACAGACACACACACACAGACACACACACACAGACACACACACACAGACACACACACACAGACACACACACACAGACACACACACACAGACACACACACACAGACACACACACACAGACACACACACACAGACACACACACACAGACACACACACACAGACACACACACACAGACACACACACACAGACACACACACACAGACACACACACACAGACACACACACACAGACACACACACACAGACACACACACACAGACACACACACACAGACACACACACACAGACACACACACACACAGACACACACACACACAGACACACACACACACAGACACACACACACACAGACACACACACACACAGACACACACACACACAGACACACACACACAGACACACACACAGACACACACACACACAGACACACACACACAGACACACACACACAGACACACACACACAGACACACACACACAGACACACACACAGACACACACACACAGACACACACACACAGACACACACACAGACACACACACACACACACACACACACACACACACACACACACACACACACACACACACACACACACACAGACACACACACACAGACACACACACACACAGACACACACACACAGACACACACACAGACACACACACAGACACACACATACAGACACACACACACAGACACACACACAGACACACACACACACACACACACACACACACACACACACACAGACACACACACAGACACACACACACAGACACACACACACACAGACACACACACACAGACACACACACAGACACACACACACACACACACACAGACACACACACACACACACACACACACAGACACACACACACACACACAGACACACACACACAGACACACACACACACAGACACACACACACAGACACACACACAGACACACACACACAGACACACACACACACACAGACACACAGACACACACACACACACAGACACACACACACAGACACACAGACAGACAGACACACACACAGACAGACTCAAAAAGGCTCGTATAGTTTTCAGTAAATAAAACTTTTTCAGTTTTTTTTGAAAATTATGTTATTTTAAAATCTAGTGTAATGTTAAAGACAGATAAGATTATTTCCAAGGTTTTCAAATAAAATAATAGTTAGTTTATTAGATATAATCAAAAATATTTTTTAAAAAATATGATATGATTATTGAATTTTGATTAATTATAATTAAAATTTATTTTAATATTTTCTAGTTAAATATTAGATATAAGTTATAAAAAAAATTTAAATAAATAAATAATAATTTTAATAAGATTTTTATTATTATTATTTGTTGAATTTTGTTACTGAAATTTGAACTTTTAAAAATTATATTGCATCATTGTATTTTTTAAAAATATTATTTTTTTTTTTTTTGATTTAAAAACAATGAATAAAAAAATATGCAAATAATATTTAAATTTGAAAAAATAATATCGAGTTAATATAATCGAGATTTGAGATCAACAAAAATCAAATTATTTTTGAAAACTTTAATAACTTAAGCCGTAAATAAAATAGTAATTAATAAATAGCAAAAAAACTTTCATAAAATAAGTATTAGAAATAAATATTTATTTAATAAATAGTTGAATAAATTATTTAATAAAACTTATTTATAATTATTGATTATTATTATTATTATTATTATTATTATTATTATTATTATTATTATTATTATTTCGTTCCCCACTTCGTGTCCATCTTTCAACAATAGCCGCCACTCTTGCCTTCCTTTGCCATGTCTTACGTCTCCATTGTTTTCGTTCTTCTTCATCATAATTGGCGGTCGTATTGTATATTGTCATCGGTTTAACAAAACTTTTTGTCACATTTGTTGTCAAATGATTTTCATCTTTTTTGTCATTTTCATCATTTAGTCTTTTATAGAGATATACTGTGACAGCTTCGAGGACATCATAAAAACCGAGTAATGAGAAGCCGACCCACATTGACAACAGTCCACCAATATTTGAGGTAAACTCTGCTATCTATTTATGTATAAAACAAAACAAAAACATATAAAGTATTGTAATTAATGTTAATTTCAATACTTCAAACTTTGGCTGATATTTATTAATGGTTTCCTCAGCGCTCCAGTATCTGATGGACACAATGGCACAGCACTGTCTCATTTCATAGAGATAGTCGCCTTTAATGCTGTGCTCCTAATGATGATAATATTTTTATTTAAAAAAAATATTTTATTAGATAAAATAATTTTCTATAAAAATCATACAATACGCTCAGTGGCCGGCCATTGACGGACTTCCTTAATGATGCGATATCTATCTATACTATATATATATCAAAAAAAATTATATGATAATATAAACTTAATCATTATCCAAACTAATTTAAAAAATTAATAAAATAACTTTATTAAGGAGAAAGAGAGGACAGACCTACAATCGGAGTTACATTTGCTTTTGCATTGTTGTTCGTGAACTGTAAAGCAATACTGAAACCAAGTAATGTCTGCCGGTTTGCTTAGATCGGGAAAGTCTGTCTCCCAATCGCACCAATTCATACTGTTCTCCTGAGAGTCGGCCACAGTTCCTCTCATGAACGGTAGTTCCGGTGGCCAACACTGACACTTATCCATAGTGTTCTGTGCCATACAACCAATAATACAGTTCTCTTTTGAAAGCGGATGATGAAGATATTCATTGCGATCTTCGCTGCCGTCATCGGAGGTTAGCTTATGATTTACGCAATCGGTTTGATAGGGTTTGGGTAGCAATAGATCCGTTTCTTTGCTGATGTAGAACTCGTAATAATTTCCCGGAGTCAACGTAAAGCTCTTCTCTCTTATGGTGGGCGCCTCGTTGTCGTCATGAATGATGATCCGTCCATTGACCGGCTCATTGAGTGTCGTATAATCGCTACTATGAAAGTCCAGTTTGAGACGCAAAATCTCATTTGGATGAAACGGTTCCTCAGATAACTCTATATTGACCGCCTCATCGCCCGTTCCCCGTCTAACAGGACTTTGAGACAGACCAGAATCGATGGCAATATCGGACAATACTTCGCTACGCGAGCGATGAAATAGTGTAAAACAATTACCTAAATCCTGGGCTGTTGTGATCACATTTGCAAACTTTCTGTTTAGTATTAATAATTGGACACAAAAAACATATCATTTATATTATTACCACAGTTGTCAGGCACAGGTAGTTTAATAAAGCATATATATATCATAGGCTCACATGCAGGTCTCGTCCGGATGATACTTGTCTGATGCACACCGGAAGAATGTGGGCACCAGAAAGTCATCAGCGGTGTGACCGTAGCTCATGAACTGCGAGACCGGCAACTTATCCATCATTTTTCGCATATATTCATCGATCAGATGCTGTTGTTTCTGTTAATAATTACATTTGCAATAAAATATACAATCAATTAAATGAAGACAATTTAATATTATTATTTGATTAATAAATTTTATTACGAGTTTTATTTCATCGATATTTTCATCCGTTTCCGATACGTTTGCCAGTATTGTCCATTGAGGCTCAAAATCGGGATCAAAATCTTTAAGTTTTGATAGCATTAAACTGTTAATTATATAAATATTTTTAAAAATTTTATTTAATAAATTTCTATTTAATCGCATCAAATAAATATTGAGAATATTATACCGATTACTATTGCATAACGTAATTCCCGGCAAATATAGTTTATCCATAGTCCTGACATTGACAAACACAATGGTCGGGTAGTCAAAAAATAGTGTGACAATTGTGACAATTTGATAGGTACAACCTATAGTACACAAACACATGACCAACCCTTTCACTAAATAGTGAATCATTTGAGAGCCAGTGATGATTGTGTCCGGCGATTGTTTAGTCACCCGATTATAGTCGCGAATATTGATATATTGCATCATTTCGACCGGTGTTTTCAAGTGTCGACTCACTTTTGCCGAGTTTAACTCAAATTTCATTATTAATATATTTATTATTAAATTAATTATATGATATTATAATTTATTTTTTTAATATTTTAATAAAAACTGATTAAAAATATATATTTTTAGTGAGAGTCAAATCATTAATATAACAATTGTTGAATCTTTTTAATTAATTTAGTGATTTTATCAATTTTATCTATATTTAAAATACATTTATAGTACAAATTATTTATTAATTTTTTATAATACACCAACTATTGTTAATCAAAATTGTAATATAGTTATATTTTTGTAACCAAAAAAAAAACATTACTAAAGTAATATACTGTATATTCAATAAACCTAATTTATAGCTAAGCAAACTTTGAAAATACAATATTTCTAAACTATTAACTTTATACTCTATTATGATTATTAAGCCATTTATAAAATTGATATAAATTTATACTAATAAAAATAATTATTATGAAATATATACAATCATTATCGATAATACTTTTTATTCTTCAATGATTTTGTTTTAGTTTTGTTTTATTTTTGTCAAACAATTGATTTAATAATTTTTATTTCAATATTTGTATGAATCTGTGGTTTCAATTGATTTGATCTAATTTTAGTTCATTTATTTATTTATTTCTGTTTTTGTATTTATAGTTATAATATCATTAATGTTATTTTTATTTGTCTATTAGACGCATGAAAATAAACATAATATACAACTATTAATATTTTGTATAATATCTGTATTATATATTAATTTAATACAAACTCTACAAAAAACAATATCATAATTTAACATTTAAAAGTTTACGTTGTTTTAGTGTAAAGTTACAATTTAGTTTAAAATTTAGTATAATTTAATTGTATATAAATTTTATAAGAGTTAAAAATTAGTAATATGACTTTTATGTGATATTGATATAAAGTTATTGTAGATTAAAAATAAGTATTAAATTATAATTTTAAAAAAGATATTTATATAAAAATAAATTGTTAAAAATCATATATTATATAAAATAGTTTTATCAAAATATAATAATAATATTATTATTAGTAATATTTAATTAATATTGGTTAGTTATTTTTATTTTCTATATGTATTATTGTATAGTATAAACAGATAAGCAATTATAAACTACTATTAAAGTAAATATAAACTATTAAATGCAAGTATTGATTATATCATATTATATAATTTATATGTTATAAAAAATTTAACTATAAATTGGAACATTACAAACTGTAATAAATAAATTATTATTAATATAAATGCTATATGAGGACAGTTATGTTTAAAACTAACTGTCCCGCGTCGGTGGGACATATACTAAAATTGGAACGATACAGAGAAGATTAGCATGGCCCCGAAGCAAGGATGACACGCAAAATCGTGAAGCGTTCCTAATTTTTATTTTAATTATTTTAAATTAATCTAGGTTATTAATTAATTTTTTTATTTATTTAATATTGGTTAGTTATTTTAGTTTTCGATTGGTATGAGTTACTATTTCAAGTTTTTTTAATAAATATATTTACATTATTTTTTTAAAAGCTTAAATGAATACCAATAGAAAGTAAAATAACTAACCAATATTAAATAAATAAAAAAATTAATTAATAACCTAGATTAATTTAAAATAATTAAAATAAAAATTAGGAACGCTTCACGATTTTGCGTGTCATCCTTGCTTCGGGGCCATGCTAATCTTCTCTGTATCGTTCCAATTTTAGTATATGTCCCATCGACGCGGGACAGTTAGTTTTAAACATAACTGTCCTCATATAGCATTTATATTAATAATAATTAATTTATTACAGTTTGTAATATTCCAATTTATAGTTAAATTTTTTATAACATATAATCAATACTTGCATTTACTAGTTTATATTTACTTTAATAGTAGTTTATAATTGCTTATCTGTTTATACAGTTTATTAAATTACATTTACAGTATTTATGATTTACATTTAGATAAAAACTCTACTTTAGATAAATAATTATTTATATTTTTCTGAAATTACAGATACATTAATAATTTTATTTATTTTAAAAATATTTTTTATTAAATAATGAATCGTTTTGGAGAGATATTTAGAAAATGTCTGAAAAATAAAACATCAATCATAGGTATGGTTCACGTAAGAAGTCTACCCAACTGTCCATTGAGTAGATTAAGTGTTCAGCAATTGGTAGACATTTCGTGCGCTGAAACCGAAATCTACAAGAAATACCAATTGGATGGCATTTGTGTAGAAAACATGTTTGACGTGCCGTACGTCACCCGCCGGGACAGTGGTCCCGAAGTAACAGCTGTTATGACTCGAGTGTGCGCTGAAGTCAAGAAATGTGCGCCCAATTTGCCGATTGGTGTACAGATTTTGGCCGCACTTAATCAGGAAGCCGTGGCCGTAGCAGTTGCTGCTGGTCTGCAGTTTGTACGGTGCGAGTCATTTGTTTTTGGACACATAGCCGACGAAGGCTATATGGACGGGTGTGCCGGCTCACTGCTCCGATATCGGCGACATTTGAACGCCGACCACATACTAGTGTTGACAGACATCAAGAAAAAGCACAGTTCGCATAGCATTACTAGTGATGTCAGTATCGGTGAAACGGCAAAATCGGCTCAATTTTTCCTATCCGATGGCCTTATAATTACTGGTCAAAGTACGGGACATTTTCCGAAACTCGATGAACTCAAAGACATTCAAGAATTAAATTTAGGAATTCCTTTGTTAATCGGTTCCGGTGTTGACGACAATAATGTTGGCGATTGTATTGAACAAGAGGTCAGTGCAGTGATAGTTGGATCACATTTTAAAAAGGATGGCCTTTGGAGTAATGATTTGTGTGAGAATAGGATCTCTAGGTTTATGGATAGAGTACACCAATGCTCTCAATAATTATCATAACTTATAATTAATTATATATTTAATGTATTAAATACTGTGATTATACTATTGTAATATAATATTTAATAAAACAATATTTGTTTAATTTATTATAATTTTTGTTCTCATATTTTAATAAACAATTAAATTCACCTAAAAAATAGTTTTACATTATATAAAATACTAGTTATAATTTATTTTTAAGGTATTATATAATATTATTTACTAAGTTTAAAATTAATGTTTCATTATATAATACTAATATATTATCAAATGTTTAATATATAAATATACAATGTTTTTGCATAAGTGAACAACTGATTAAACATTGATAAATAAAATGGTTAACCAAGGTAACATTAAAAGTAATATATTATAGCACCTAGGTAATGTCTAGTAACATATTACTTAGAAAGCACCGGTTAAACAGCCGATAGTCCGGTTAGTAATTGGAATATGGTGTGTGACTGTGTACAGTGTGTATCCAGGACAATTTTTTTGCTATTATTTTTAACTAATACAAATACTTTTACATTAATATATATAAGATATATTAAAGTAAAATAAGATTTAGTAATTTTTATTTAATGATATCATAAATTGATTAATTATGAAATCTAAAAATTAGAAAAATAATAAGAAAAATTGTCCATGATACACTGTGTTCCAACCTGTTTAACTTAGGTGATCGAACAACAATATATGCTTTCTAAGTGATATGGTTATAGACATTACCTAGGTGTTATTAATAATACCTAATAATAATTAAATTGTTTGTTTCAATATTATTTATTATATAATAACTTATTATATTACTTTTAATGTTACCTTTTAACCATATTATTCATTAATGTTTAATCAGTTGTTCATTTAAAATAACTATTAAATTAGTAATATTGAAATTAAACAGTATATATAATATATACCGTTATACAGTATATTATAGTGAAACATAATATTGAAACAAACAATTTAATTAGTAGATAATATTATATTACATATTATTTTAAATTATAATGTTTTCAATAATTTGAGTGACAAATAAAGTTTAGTTATAAAAAATAATATTTAAAATATATATATATAAAACTGTGTTTAAGTACATGTAAGCATATAAAATTAATATTTCATCAAAATTTTTATTGATAAGTAAGTTATTTATATAAGATTTTATAAAAATTTATGTTTACTTACATAGAAATTAATTATGATAATAAAAATTAAAATTTTCTTTGCTTCCTTAACTTTACACATAAACATTAGTAATCAATAGTGAGATTAAAAATTAAGAGAAAATATGATTATCGAAAATATAATGGAAATATTTATTTAAAAATTAATATAAATAACTTTTATATCATATAAATTATATGTGATAATAAATTTAATGTAAATGACATATTAAGTGAATCTTATTGAATGCGTTTTAAGAAATAATAACTGATATATTTTGACTATTAGTGATGATTATAGGATTCATTAACTTTTTTTGATTGTTAAATAAAGTACCTCTAAAATACTCATTATATAATATTTGTAGACTATCATTAAAAAAATTATTTTATATTTGTTTAACGATACTTAAATAATCTTTTAATTAAATATATATTTTTTGCTATAAAAGGATTCATCACTTGTAGAAACAATTATATATATATATTTTAGTTAGTTATAATTCATCAGAAAAAATAATGTCAAAACTATTAGCTCTATTAGTATTGTCATCAGTTATGGCGATGACAGTACTCGCCGGCACCGGTAGACGATTATCACTTCCCTTAGGCGAAGAAATGTTAACCAATAAGATGGCCGACTATATCAATAGTCTGAACACAACTTGGAAGGTATGAACAAAAATTTGCAAATTTGTTGTAAAAATTATTAAAATTTAGGCTCAAAATAATTTTGCCGGATATTCATTACAATTTATCCGCGGACTGATGGGTGTTCACAAAGAAAACCAGAGATACCGTTTGCCAATCTTAACCCATAATCTTGAAAATATTGAACTTCCCGATGAGTTTGACTCGAGGACACAATGGCCTCACTGTCCATCTATTCGGGAGATTAGAGATCAAGGATCGTGTGGTATGTAATTACTGATTGATTTTTATTATTAGCTCAAAAAATAGAAAAGTTTATTCAATTAACTACATTATGATAATAAATTGTTATAAAATAATTGATTATTTATTTCAGGCTCGTGTTGGGCTTTCGGTGCAGTCGAGGCCATGTCTGACAGGATATGTATTGGAAGTCAAGGAAAAGTCATTGTTGAGGTGTCGGCTGAGGACTTGGTTTCGTGTTGCAGTTCGTGTGGTTTCGGATGTAGCGGTGGTTTTCCTGGTGCTGCCTGGAACTATTGGGTACACACAGGACTGGTATCGGGAGGTCTGTACAATAGTCATAAAGGTTGTCAACCGTATGTGATAGCTGCCTGCGAACATCACACAACTGGCCACTTAAAACCGTGTGGCGATATTTTGGTAAATATTATTTAATTTATCATTTTTTAAATCTCAAATGTTGTATAAAATTTTTATATCATAATAATAATTACTTTTGTGATCTATTAATGATAGCCGACACCAAAATGTTTGCATATCTGCGAAAAGGGCTATAATGTGAGCTATAGTCAGGACAAACACTACGGTCGCAAATCCTACGGTATCTCAAACCACGTCCAACAGATACAGACTGAAATCATGACCAACGGTCCGGTCGAGGCTGACTTTACCGTCTACTCGGACTTTGTGAGCTATAAATCTGGTATTAATTGTTAAATTTGTTGTTGATTTGTAGATCTATTTATGAATAATAGTATATTTTTTAAAAATTGTCATAAAATAGGTGTCTATCAGAGACACAGTTCCGAAGAGTTAGGCGGACACGCCATCCGGATCCTTGGTTGGGGTGTAGAAGATAACGTTCCCTATTGGTTGGCAGCCAACTCATGGAATGAGGACTGGGGTGATAAAGGATACTTCAAAATACTCAGAGGTAAGGATGAGTGTGGTATCGAAAGTGATATCAACGCAGGTCTGCCCAAAGTTTAACATTATTAACACAATGACGACCAACCGTTTCAACAAAAAATAACACATTTATTGTCAATTGATTTAAACAAGTGTTATAAGTCTAACAGTTATCTAATAGTTTTTATAATAATCATTTTATATACTTTTTTTGTAATTCTAAAAACATTAGATATTTTTGTTAAATATTTTATTATGATTATTTTAAATTTATATTTTGTATAATTTCATTAAAACACTATAATAAAATATAATAAAAATGTGCATGATAAAAAATTATAATCATTGGCATTGATTCATTTCTATTCAAAATATTTTTTCTAAAAATCATTAACAGTAATATTTAATTTTAAAAAATATTAATAAATATTAATAAATGGTAACTAAAAATTTCTAATATTGTTAATAAAGTTTATAAACAACTGTATTATAACTTTATAAAAAGTTTTTATATTAAAGATAATGTCTTTGACTAATGTTTTGCTTTTAATAAACTTTTAGTTATTTTCACTAACTTTGTTGTCAACAATTATTTACGATTGTATTAAATGATGAAAAAACTAATAGTGAAGGACAAGTCAAGCCAGTGTTGTTGGGTTGGGCACTGGTAGTAGTCGAGAGGCACAGGTATAGTATGAATGAGCTCATGTATTACTATCGCTAATCTAATCGCACGCATAACTCATGAATAAATTATTCCTTTTTAGATTATTACTATAACATTGGGTTCTATATATAAAAAGGTAACATAAATGGCATTTCAGTTAATTGTTAATATTTTACAGGTAAACGATGTAAATGTGTAATACATGAGACATACCTGTCATTTGAAATATAATAATGTATTATATGTTATATTATGTTATGTTATGAGAGGAACTGTAGTTTTGTTGAACTGTTGTTTTGTTGTTAAATATAAATAAATATAAATATGTTGACTAATGTTATTACAAATCAAATTAGTTCATAAATTTAACTTTTTAGTAATTTGTTCAAAATTGTCCTGGTCAATTTAAATATTTATTGACTTTAATAATTAAATAATAATAAAAGTGTTAATTATTAATATAAGTGACTAAAAAATATATATAATGTAAACATAAAGTGCTTAAAATAGGCGTTGTTTTCATTATATTAATTTTTTTTTAAATAACATTTTTATATATCAATAGTGTTATTAATTACATGATTTTTATTACTATTTTTTATACAATGTTTTCATAAAACTATTTATTTATCAATTATTTGTTGATATAAATCTCAAATCGTCCAAAAAATGTTAAGACATCAATCAAATTATATCTCATTTTTATTAACAATCATTTTTATCGATTATGGTATGCATTGCTAATATATTTTTTAAAAATAAATAATAATTACTAACATTTCATATCTGATATAATTTCATTAAAAAAAACTTTATTATCATCTAATTGATTATTGAAGTAAAGTTTAATTAAAAAAAAACTAAAAGTTTGAGATAAAACTAATAAAAGACACTATCGTTAGATAAAAAAATATATTATTTTATATATACTTTAACTTTTGAATAAAATCTGATCCATGTTTTAATCAAATCTTTAAATATCTAGTGATATGTCAGTCGTGTCCAAAGGGTTGGGAAGAGTTTCAGACGGCGTGCTATAAGTTTACCCGAAATCCGGTCAAAAATGTTATACAAGCGGAGGACACGTGCTTTCTATACAATGCACACCTGATTAGTGTCAACACTCTGGATGAACATCAGTTTGTGACCGCTTGGCTTCGCAACAACGATCCGCTTCATCGGAAATGGTTGACCAGTGGCCGCGACACCAGTAATAACAATTGGAAATGGGATGGAGACCGAAGCGATTTTACACTTATCCATGATATTTGGCTACCGGTAAATGAAAACAGTGTCAACCGATTTGATTGGACACTGAATACCGGCAAACACGCGGCCTATAAGTAAGTCATATATAAAACTCCGCACACGTTGTATAAAACACTGTATAATAATAATTAATGTATGATTTTTATGTCAATTTGAAAAACCTAAAGTTTCTCTGAATCGGCCAATCGGTGGGGTTTGATTCGGGTGCCCGACACTTATGAGTCGCCATACATTTGTGAGATCAAAAAGGAGGACTTAATTCATGCCATGGCCTCTGAAAGAGATATAGGTTTGTATTTTAAGTTATTTTACAGTAAATATAATCTGTTATATAATTTGTTTGATATTACCGTAATATGTCTTAGATTATGGCATAACAACCGTCGATCCGCGTCAGATACCACGCGGGCCTGTCTTCACACAAGAGCCCAAAAACGCTGTCTTTGATTTAAGTGGTTAGTCATAGCAATTGCTTTTTTACTATATCTATTAACTTAAATAATCATTTTATAAAATAGGTCGGAGCCAATTGAACTATATATCTATCAGATGTGTGGCCGACGCTTATCCGACACCAATTTATAAGTGGTATAAAGAGGAATACGTGAACAATAGGCTTACTTCTAAATATATCGACCCACTGTCCGATTTCCGGATCACACAGACTGATGGCATGATTACTATCTATAATCCACAGCAAACTCAAGATCGGGGCAAATATCACTGCACCGCCGAAAACAGTTACGGCATTATTATGAGCCAAACAGTTCAACTCAGCTTCGGATGTAAGCATAATGTCATTGATCACATCAGTTGACCAGTTAATCAAAAAATATCTCAATTACTATATAATAATTTGCAGATATCGGCGAATTCACAAAAAAACGGTCACCAGATTATGGCAAAGAATATTGGGGTAAATCGATATCCTGTGATCCGCCACAACATCACCCGCGAGTCAACTATTACTGGACTCGCAATTCGTTTCCCAATTTTGTCGAAGAAGATCGTCGAGTGTTTGTCTCACACGACGGAAATCTCTATTTTTCTTCACTCGAGAAGATCGACAGAGCGAACTACTCGTGTAACGTACAGTCGGTTATATCCAATACCGGCCGTACCGGTCCATTCTTTCCATTGATTGTCGATCCGGCATCGAGTGGCCAGAAATTGATGTTTCCAAACAATTTTCCAAAAGCCTATCCCGAAGCTCCGTTAGCCGGCGAAGATGTCCGACTTGAATGTATGGCCTATGGATATCCTGTACCATCGTATAACTGGAGTCGTTCGGGTGTCACAAATCGGTTGCCTGAAAGCGCTTATACTACTAATCATAACCGTGTGCTTCTACTACCCAAAGTTCAAGTAGAGGATATCGGTGACTATGTTTGTACTGTTACCAGTGGTCGGGATGTCATCCAAAAGAAAGTCATGTTAAGCATTCAATGTATGTTTTCTTTAAAAAACAATTATATTTAATTAATTAATTATATTACTATAATCACTAATAAATTATTTTATTTGTAAAATATATAGCACTTCCTGTATTTACGATAAAGTTGGGCAACAAAGTCATCGAAAGAGGTACTACTCGACCACTGGTCTGGACGTGTGAGGCATTTGGTATACCAGATGTCTATTATCAGTGGTATAAAAATAGTGACGAACTTAAAGATCGGTCGCTGATGGATAACTCGTTGTCACCCGAAGATAGACAGAGATATATTGTCACACATAATATATTAACAATCGATGGCATAATACCGGACAGGGATGAAGGCATGTATCAGTGCCGGGCCTGTAATCAATTGGGATGTGCATTTTCTAGTGGACAGTTGCGTATCATATCGATGGCACCGTCGTTTCGAAAGCATCCACTCGATATCGAGACGTACGCCTCGGAAGGCGGAAACGCGACAATTCCGTGCGTTCCCGAAGCCATACCGTTTCCGACGTTTGAGTGGGAAAAAGATGGCACACGAGTGGGCGGTCCTGTCGGCAGAGTTAGGATTATGTCCAATGGTTTTCTTTCCATAAATCCCGTCCAGGTATCAGATGAAGGACTCTATACTTGTATTGCTCGCAACGATTTGGGTTTTGATAGATCTCAGGGCTATCTTCGTGTCTTCAGTCGTCCGCGAATATATGATGGACCAGCTGTTGCTTACGAAAGACGGGTCAACGAGACTCTGGAGATGCCGTGCTCTGCATTTACCGATTCGGCTCTCGATGTGGCCTATGTTTGGCGACATAATGGTCTGAGAATTAATTTTACTAAAACACCGCAATTTTCTGAAGGTATTTATTTATTTGAATATTTTTATGAATAAAATATTATTAACAAATAATTACAAAACAATTTTTTAGGAACATTTCCGGGATTTCTTCGTCTTAATAATATAACCCTATCGGAGGCCGGAGACTACTTGTGCGAAGTAAAGACATCGGTTGGCAAAAATATTGCTAAAACAATACTACAAGTATCAGGTCCGCCGAGTGCACCGGGAGCTGTTTTGGCCGAGGATCTGACGGCAACTTCGGCCAAAATTCACTGGAGTGATGGATCAGAAAACAGTCGCCGGATATGGGGTTATATGATAGAGGGTCGCACTAATCATAATCAAAATTGGTTGCCAATAATTAATGTGTCCGACTATCAGAACCAATATTATACTAATAAAGAAAACGGAAGAAAAGTCACTCACGTTAGAGATGTCCTCTCGCCGTGGAGTTCATATGAATTCAGAGTTTCATCAATCAATGACATAGGAGTTGGTCCGCCATCCGGTTAGAAACCATATTATTAGTAATTTTTTACTTTAATTTATTTAAATTGATGAAATTGTCTACTTAGATCCCAGTCCCCAATACAATACCGATAAATCAGTACCTTTTAAAGCACCGGCCAATGTTGGAGGCGGGGGCGGTAAAGCAGGAACATTGACAATAACATGGGATCCATTGCCACCGCAAGACTGGAATGCACCAGAAATTTGGTATCAAATTTATTACAGGTATGTCTTCTAAACTGTATTTTTATTATTTATGTTAATTTTTTTTTTAATTACTATTAATTTAAATCAATAAATTTTAATTTATATAGAGCTCAAGATCTTCGTGACAACGATCCGTTTATCTCCAAAAACCTGTCGACATTGGGAAACACCAATATGTATGCCGTCAATGTCGGCGAAGACAACTATTTTAAGCCGTATTCAGTGCGTGTTCAGGCCATGAACTCCATGGGTCCGGGACGAGTGATCAGCGATCCCGTTACCGTTTACTCTGCCGAAAGTATGCCACACGTGGCGCCCAATCAGGTGTACGCTGTGGCCTACAATTCAACTTCGCTGAACATTTCATGGGCTCCGCTGGAGATGACACGGGAGATGATCAGAGGTCGTCTTATCGGTCACCGAATCAAGTACTGGCCGAGCGATAATTGCCAAGCGATACGAGCTGACCAAGAGCAGAACTCATTGACATTGTTGAACCGTGGACTCGATCCGTGGGGTCTTATTGTCGCTCTGATTCCCGACACAAAGTATTGCATATCTGTCATGGCTTACAACGACGCCGGAAGTGGACCCGAAAGTGAAGCATTTCTGGCCCGTACTTACAAAGCAGCGCCACAGAGACAGCCGACCAGTGTTAACATTACAGCTACCGATTCGCATTCAGTTATGGTCACCTGGAGAGGTATTACCACTTTGACCAATGCCGAGGAACCTATTATAGGCTATAAAGTGAGATACTGGGAGACAGATCAACCAATTTCATCGGCCAAAGAGGTGTATAAATATCTAGACGGCGGAGAACTTAAAGCTATTATTTCGGATCTCATACCGGGAAAGGTGTATAAACTAAGAGTACTGGCGTTTAGTAGCGGCGGTGACGGAAAAATGAGTACTCAGGTATGGTTTCAAACACAGCTTATTATTATTTTAGTTTAAAATTTTGGTATAATTTTTATAATAATTTTTTTTATAAATAAATTTTATTAATTCAGTGGGAATTTAAAGTCGGCGAAGGAGTTCCATCTCGACTCACATCCTCATCATTAAAATTGACATCAATTCCAAATACATTGCAATTAACGTTAATTTTGTTAATATTATCTAATTTTAACATAATTTAGTTTTTAATCAATTTATAAAAATAGCACATTATTTTTTAAAAATATGATAAATATTGAAAAATATGATTTATTTGTAACAATACATGCAATTTGAGAATCTATTTATATATATATACTCTATATTACAGAATCTCAAAGAATTAACTGCCTTTTGACTGAATTATTCTTTTTTATATATAAACAAAATCAATAATAATTTGTATATATTTTAATATACACTAAATATTGTATATAAATAACAATATATTATAACATTAAAAACACATTAAGAAGTCTTATAGAGAATCTTAATTTTGTTTTATCTTAGAGTTTCAATTGAGTGCCTAATAATTAAATAATAAATAAGTTATTTAAATCAAAAAAAATATTTCATAAAATTCCATGACATTTATTTGTTTGCTTTTCGACTAAATTGTTATATTTATATATAAAATTAATGTATTGGATAAACTTAGTTTTCACTACTAATATTAATTTAATTGTTACTAATTTGTGCATAAATAATTGGTTAATACAGTATCTATGTTTACAAATTATTATATATTATACAATATAAATCTATATATTATATAATTTCTATCTAATTGTTGCTCAAATAACATATAATGATAAAAGCTTATTCTTATTATGTTATAATTTTAACAATTAATTTATTTAAAATATTATATTCAATATATTTCATTTAATTTTGATAGTTTTATTATTGTATAATTTAATTGATTTAGTCAAAGTCAATTTTGCTTAAATCATTATTAGTATTGTTATGCAAAATTACTATAAGTTTACTAATATTATATTAAACTTAATATTATTTTATAAGTATTAATAATATATAATATATATTCCAATTAAATGAAAAGCATATTAAAATTTACACAAAAGTCTTAAATGATATTAATATAAATTTATGTTAATAGCAATAATACAATTCCGTCCAATTTTGTAAAATTTAAAAAATTCAAATAATATTAAATTCACTCTATTGTGATATTTTAACAAACACTTTAAATCACTCCAAAAAAATTGTTTAAATAAAATTTTAAAAATTGTACACAAAATAAATAAAGTTTTGTTTAATAATTCATTTGTTGCCATTATTTGCGTTATTAGTACTTATTATTATTAATACACAGTGTCTCATGTAATCAATTTATATTAAATTAATATAAAATGAATAAATAACAAAATATTGAGAAAAATTAGCCAAATGTTTGATAATAAAAAATAACAAAATAGTTCTATAAAATACAGAAATTAAAAACGTTTTAATTTATGAAATTAATAATTATATTACATTAAAGTATTACAATTTTTATGTCTAATTTGAAAGTAACTTAAATTTTAATAACATTTTGAGAATATCATATTATGCTAAAAAAATATAGTTTAATACTTGATTAAAAAAATATCGGTGTCAATAAAATCATTTGATGATAAAATTACATTGAAATCCAACAAAATTATTGATTATCATAAAATTAGCAAACTTTTGAAAAAAAATTATTACTGACCCAATTGGCATTTATTTCCTTAAAAGATTGAGTTGTCTATTCATTTAACTAAATATCAATTTTTATTATTGATATTTTCTCATATTATTGAAACACAGATACTGTACATACATACATACAAATCACACACAAAAAAACTAATGTTTAAGTAAAATATAGATAAATGATAAAAATTTATAAAATATAAAAAATGTGTAATAAGTCGATATTAACTAATTTGAATTACACTGAATTGTTTTATTATATAAATACTACGAATACTTTATTATAATTGTTTAAATTACTTTTAAGAATTAAATTAAAATTATTAATGAGATAAAATTATTATATTCATTTTTTAAAAAATGGAGATAAATAAAATAAAATTTTTAGTTTAACTAAAGTTAAACCAACATTATTTAGATTATTAAAATATTAATGGCAAATTTAATCAATAATTAAAATCATATTTTTTGTATTAAAAAATAAATTTATCAATTAAGTAGTTATTAAATTTATTTTTGTTGTATTTTATTACTCAAAAATTAACTTTCACATAAACTAATAAATTTACTAATATATAAATGAGGTACAATTAAAAACTTTATTATTATAATATTATTATTGTTACTAAAATAAATTTTGAAATAATTTTAAAAATTGTTATAATAATATAAATGGATATTAAAGTAAAATAGCATATGATATTAATTTATTCAAATTAATTGATTATTTTTTATATATAGTTATTGATAATTAGTTCGGTGATAACTGTGACCACATGTAGGACAATACCGGCTGCCATTAGTTCCAAATGGGATCTGGATGTTAGACAGACTGACCTACAACAGGATCCCATTGAACCGCAAGTTATTGAAGTGCCAGCCGTCGATCTGCCCGTCAAAATCATATTTAACTCAAAATCAAGCGGTGTATATGTCCAACAAATACACCATCCAGGTTAGTTTACTTAATATATAATAAATATAATAATGAAATTTAATAATTATAAATCTATAGGCGCTAAGGGACAGACAGAAGCTACACAATCGGAGGAAGAACCGCATCGAGTGGTTCATCAAGTGGTTCGTCCAGTCATTCAAGAGATACGCGAAGTGATTGTTCCGTTTAGACGTGTCATACAAACTATACGACCGGTTGTCGAAGATATTCAGACACAAGTGGCTAAAGGGAACCGACAGACTATGGACAGGGATTTCATTACTAATGAAATGCAAATGTCTCCGCAAACGGCATACAAGAGTCCATTTAGTTTAAGAATTGCCGACTTATGGAAATCAGCCAAAGAAGCTGCGGTTAAGGCAAAGGCTTAACATTTATTACATTATATTTATAAACATATAAAATAATTAATTTACATTATATTTATTATTTATTATTATTAACAATAATTAATATAATTATTTACTTTAATAATTATTTTAAATAATAATTGAATTTTTAATAGAATTAAATAATATAAGTTAAATATTTTAATTATTTATGTTAAGGTATTATAATTTGTAATTTTTGTCATTTATTTACTAAATAAATTGTTATATGATTTTAAAATAAATTAATAGTTATGTAAAATAATTTATATAAAATTATAAGCAAAATAATATTACGATGGATGTAGTAATTCCCGTCCAGTGCTAATAAAATTGATAAAATGTCTGTTATTTGCCATTTGTTGTCTGCATTTTACAACTAAAACAATTGACACACAAATCGCTATTGCAGTTATAAAACATAGTGATGTTTTAATACTACCAAATTGTGAGTATATAGGAAATAGTGATGATCCAGGTGCAATCAAACTTGTACCATTGTCATCAACGGTTAGGTTATGTAGATCAGTGACACTATTATTGTTAAGACTAATTGCAACTAACGTTGTGCTAATTGGCAAATACAAGCAAAAAATCAAACATAACATTTTTTCACACATATATATATACGGTATATACTAGTTAAGTTTAAAATATATAATTTAAAATATTTATAAATTTATATAATTATTTATTTTTTAAATTTATTTATTAATAAATGTTGTGTTTATGATATTTAAAAATAATTGTCAGCTTAAATGTTAGTTTTTTCTACTTAGATCACAATAATTTATATAATAATAAATTAATAATGACTTCATTATTAGAGTGAAACTCAATGAAAAACAAAACTTATTTGGAAGTACAGTAATAATACCGTATATATAAGTTTATAGTTGATAAATATGATATCATTATAAACAGTATTAATAGTCTAATATTTTTTAATTTAATAATATCGTTTTCATCGCTACTTACATTACATTTTTATTACAGTAATATTGTATAATAACATTATAAATGAAACTAAAATTAGAAAATTTTGATTACCGGTAGTATAATTATATACTGTATAACTTACATTATAATAGAAAATAAATATTTTCTATTAATTAAACCAATTAATCTAATAATTACAATATATTTTTACTTCATTAAGTTATTTTTATTAACAATAATGTTATATAATTTGTAATTACATGAAAATATATATTAAATAAAATTATTAAAACATGTAAAAATATAATTTTTATTAAAATGGCACAAATGTATTCATATAGTTCAAGCATAAAATTAATCTTAAGATAACAAAATATAATTAATTAAAATTATTGTTATGAAATGCTATAACATTATTTGGAAAACATTGTATCAAAATTATAAATAGAAATATTTTATAATAAAACAAAAATCTACAAAATTGAATAAAAATTAGATCTCTTGAAAATAAATTTTTAAAAAACTACAATATAATTGCAATTTTTTAATGGATTAATTTTTTATATTATATATTTAACTGAAATTACTAAAACAATGTAATTTAAGTGTGTATATCTGAGTGTCATATAATTTAATGATGTAAATTAATATTGTAAATAATGAAATACAATACATTGTTAAAGTTTTATATGACTATAATTTAAATTGTTATAAGAAACTATAAATAATAAAAATAGATTTAAATAAATAAATTATTTAAAATATTTTTTTTCTAAAAAAAAAGTTTAAGCTTTTTGATACAAATTATCGGACAGTTCGACGACAACATCTCTGAAGTTAATGCGATCCAAGTTTTTGGATAACATCGTCAATACAAACCAATCGCCAATTGATAGCCGTTTGCACAGTGCATACAGTGAGTCATGATTTGTGAGGCACCGGGTCTTTAATGAGAGATAGCGAGACCGGGGAACACATATTAGGACAGTTCTATAGGTAAGTCCTATGACAGTGATAATGAACAACAGGTAGAACCAGAACCACAAAAATATGTAAATCTTTTCGTTGACTATATTAATGGGTAAAAGACAGAGAGCGTCCTTTTTCTCGACATCACCGGACGAACCAAACAAATAAAATATACATTTAGTAATTCTCGGGAATACCCGTATCATAGGATCGTCTCTGATCTCTCCGTCCCAATTGGATAATGTTAACGCTTTCCATCCATAAGTGCTAAACTGACCGCTCAGAAAGTTGTCCATCAGTTTCATTTGAATGCAAACGTTAATTAAATTTAGACATTCGGTTAAGACATACGTCCGAAATAATAGATTATTATTATTGAGACTATCGGCCAGATATCGGACAAGTATAGCTCGGTTAGACTTTTTGACGTCTTCGGGACAAATGGGTTGATCTAAACCTAAAATTATATTTTTGATGTGATTGTCTTCATATGTCTTCCATATATATCTGGGAATGTAGAACATGACGGCCTGTATGAACAAAACAAATCCCACCCATTGATAGTAGGAATGGTAGACAAGTTTTTCATTTTTAGATTTTCGCGAGTTATCAATGCCTGGATAAGGTATTAGTCCTCCCTCCTCGGCTGTCCCTATTTTTTTATTCCAGGCGCTCACCACACTAAACGTACTCCTTGTCCAGCAATACCCGTTCAATAATTTTGTTTCTATCTTTGATCCCTCTGAGTGACAGTATATGGGATTACCAAAATGTTGAAAGGCTGTCCACGTACATCATCATCATTATCATCATCAAAGTATTAAATATATATATATATTATTATGTTAGTTATGGTATATAACTATTGTACATAAACTATAAAATTATTTATACATACCGGTGACTACTATACTACAGGCCACTAGTATAACAAATGTATAGATGTAATGAAGTTTAAAGATATTGTTGTCGATGACAGTTGACTGTCGGTGAGTGAGATAAGTCGAGAGACCAGAAAATAAAGTAAACATATTTTTTCAATAAAAAAATCACTAAACAATAAAATGACACAATTTTTTTTCACTGAACAACTATTCAATCAATTACTATTATGTCATAGTATTTAATAAAATATTTAAAAATGACTAATTATTATTTAAATTATTATAATCTATACAATATTTGTACATTTTATTAGTAGATAACATTTTATATTAATATATTATATTTTTAAAAATTTATATAATATTGATATTGAAAATTGATATCCATAAAAAACTATTCAAGCACATTTTTGGTCAAACAAATCAAAATTCACGACAAATTTGTTTGATAAATTTATTTGGATATATTTTAAATAGAAATTATATAAATAATATATATATATATTATAAATTGCTAATATTATCAACTGATTTACATTGAAGTCATATAAGCAATAGGAAGTCCGTAATACATAACATCCTCACCGACAAAATTTTCATAATATTCATCGACACTTTTAACTAAATGCTTCAATAGAACTGTTGATTGCATTTATTATACTGTATATAGAATTTATAAATTTTTTAATGTTATGTGTTTTTATACTTTTATACAAAACTTATTGTTTGACTAAAAAATAAATATATTTATAATTTTAATAAATATAATTATTAATTTTGTTGCTGAGATTAAATGTCATACGTTTTATTTATATATTGTTTAGTATAATAATAATTATTATTAAAAAACAATTATTACATTATGACTCAGGTAAATTTGATAAGTGCAAACATATCAATAGCACGTGAATTATTAGTACAATAATAGTAATACTGTAATATTAATGTTAATAAATAATAAACAAAAAATATTTTTTATTTTGAGTGATATTTAATAATTTTCTTATTGTTATAATTGAATCATCACTAATATTTTATAACTTCATACTTGTGCCAAATTAAATTAACCTGGTAAAATTATTGTATTTATTGCATATTTTAGATGCAATTTAGATGATACATGTGTATAGTTTATCAAATAAATTTAAAAAGTCGAAAATCTATAATATCTAATATAAGTGCACACACACACACACACACACACACACACAGACACATACCGATACATATCATACATACCAATGCCCTACTACTACTATTACTACTGTATACCTGGTTTGTAATTAGATAGCCTAAGTTTGTCAATGAATAAAGTGGTAAACAAGATATTCCGTATAAAGTCCATCAGTGGTAATATACAACACCAATCAAAAGGTGGCCTAACATCAGTTGACACAAACGGAAAGTTAATGGATAAGGAGTCGGCCAAACGTGGCTCAGACATTGGCAATCCGTACAGTTTTCAGCATAAAATACACGTTGGCTTTAATGCTGAAACCGGTCAAATGGAGGGGTTGCCACCGGAATGGCTGGAATTGCTTCGCGAGGCAAACATATCCAGTAGTGAACAATCGAAAAATCCTAAAGCAGTGGTCGATGTACTCAAACTTTTTGTAACCATAAGTCAAAAACAAGAGAAATGGATCGGAAAAGAGGAAGTGATTGCCAGTGAAACTAAAGAGATTGAAAGACAATTGGAGAAACAGTGCGCTCGAACCCAGGCGTTCAATGGTGACGACCTATTGTCAGATATTAACAGAGAGCTAACTAATCGACACTTTTTTACAAAAACTAAATTTTTTGATACACTTTTGGACGATATCTACGACTGTGAATCTATCGATAAAAAAGGTTGGACAACAACACCGCCGCCAAACACACCAAACCTATTAAATGAAGAACAGTTGGTCACCGACGACACTACCGATGATAATAGTAAGCATTGGAATTGCGAGACTCAGGATAAAGAAGAGATGACTGATGAAGAAGTTATCGATCGTTTGAAAGACATCGTTAACAATACGGATGATCCGCTCGATAGATACGATATCATCAAAAAGATAGGTTCGGGTGCGTCGGCTACTGTTTATACGGCCATTGATAGTCTGACCGGTGGGACTGTTGCCATCAAAAAAATGAATTTATCGCAACAGTTGAAAAAGGAACTCATAATTACTGAGTTAATGGTTATGAAAGATCAGAATCACGAAAATCTTGTCAATTATATTGACAGTCATTTTGTGGACAATGAACTGTGGGTTGTAATGGAGTATTTAGAGGGCGGGTCACTGACCGATGTTATCAATAGTTCCGTACTTAGCGAGAGTCAGATGGCCTGCGTTTGTCTGGAAGTACTCAAAGCAATAGTTTATTTACATTCAAAGAGTATCGTTCACCGCGACATCAAAAGCGATAATATTTTGCTGGGAATGGACGGCACCGTCAAAGTGACAGACTTCGGGTTTTGTGGACACATCACCGGTGACGAGAAACGCCATACATTGATAGGTACGCCTTATTGGATGGCACCGGAAGTAGTATCCAGAGCTCAGTACGGTTACAAAGTTGATGTCTGGAGCTTAGGTATTATGATGATTGAGATGATTGACGGAGAGCCGCCTTATATGAATGAATCGCCACTTAAAGCTCTTTATTTGATTGCCACACACGGAAAACCTGACATCAAGAGTCGTCATCAGTTGTCACCCGATTTGCTTAACTTTATAGACAGTTGTCTCGAGATAGATGTCGACAAAAGAAGTTCCGCCGCAGAGCTCTTAAACTACGATTTTATGGCCAAAGCAACTGACATGTCATCTATTGTGCCGTTGATTAAGGCATCAAACAAAACTAATTAACAATTTTTTATAACACATATATTTTATTAGACGATTTGTTTGATAAAAAAAACAATATAACAAATTATGTTGTTTTATATACATTAAGATATTATTTAATGTATATGTAATTTAATTAACATAATTAAATTAGACTTTAGAAACTAGAATATAAGTTAAGTTATATTATAGATAAAATTATTATCAATATAACAAAACAGTAACATTATATAATATATTTAAATATAACTTATTCAATATTTCAAATACGAAAAAGTATTATTGATATAATACTTAAATATAGTAATTTAAACTGAAAAAATAACATAATTTTATCTAAAATTATACATCAGTTACATTTATTATGTTGCAATAGTGCTAAAAATTTGTTTGCTCAACCATAAACATTATTATTTAAAGTAATCATTATTTATTTTATACATTACAAAATTGAGTTATATGTTATATTATTGTTTAATATAATTAAAGTTAAATTTTATATTTAAATATTATTTAACTATTTTTAGACACTTATATTAATTTATTAAAATAATTAAAATTAATTTGTATACAAAATAAACAACTGAATTTTTTTATTTAAATTTTTTATTAAAATATTGTATTTTATAATTTGTAACAATCTGAATAATTGAAGTTTTTTCAAATTTACTATTTAATTATTAATTTATAGTTAAATTAACTAATTCAAATGTTTAAAAATGTGATAATCATTTGTATTTTTTAAAATTTATTTGATCAGTTAAACACAAAAATAATTGTTTGATTATTAATCAATATATTATATCACAAATTTGTTCAAACGATTATATCTTATAGTTTGTTAATAATTAAACTTATATATCAATTAAGATAATAATTTATTTTCGCACATATTTTTTTCAAAAAATACTAAATTAGATATAATTCTAAACAAAAGATTTAATTTTATTAGTTTTATTTTTTTATAATAATGTCTATTTTAAAACGATAAACAAAAGTAAAACAACATTTATAGAAACTTTTGTAATGTTAAAAATAAATTTGAATACTATTGCAGTAATAGTTAAGATCATTCAATAGTTGAAATTATTTAACAGACTATAAAAAGTAAAACAATTTTACTTTTAAAATCATTAGAATTTTAGAAATTTGTGAAAACATATTTGTATTTTAAAGACAAAAGTAAAATGTTTAAAAACTTTATATTAAATGTGTTTTCTATAGTTTTAGTTACTTTAGTTCAAATTAACTCTAGTTTTGGTGATAATGGAGACAACAAATTCATGACTGGAGTACTGTTAGGACATGCGATAACTAAAGGCAAAAGTAATGACAAAATATTGGTCTTTCCTTTTAGCTATGGGTGTGTAATAAATACTATAAAATTATTTATTTAAGTTATGCCTATTTTAAGTATTATTATTATTATGAAACTTTATTTCTATCTATTTATAAAACCTCTAGCAAACCAAATACTGGTATGTCTAATCTGGCACAGGGAGGCAATCCAAACAATGGAATACAAGTTATGGATATGCAATCTGTCACTACTTCTAATAAGCCACTCGTCAATGGAAATATAGGTGAAATGTTATCGGGTTTAACTGGTACTGGATCAACACAAACAACTCATACAAACCCAGAGTCATCCAACCATCCATCCAATGGGTCACCAATGATGAATCAATTGAATCCATCTGCGATCAACTCGCCTCAGACTAACCAAATGATTCAAACTAATCAACCACTGGGAGTGTCTGTTTCATCCTCAGCCATGACTACTTCATCTATGTCTTCAATGAATAATCAAATAAAGTCTAACAATGGTTCGCCTGCAGCTAATATACAGTCACAGACATATCCAACTAACAATAATAATATGCCTCTTATGATGCCTACACCAACTTCTACATCTATAGCCGATAAACCTAATATGCAATCACAGGCTATACCACCGCCGCCAACAATGAGCGTAGGATATCAAACTATGCAACAAATGCAAGCAATTAATAATAGGTTAACTGGTATGAGTTCCCGGGGAACAACACAATATATCAATGATAATAGTAACAATTCAGGATCACCATCAATGACTAATAATGACGCAAATGTTATGAATACAAATCAAGGAAATTATAATATGGGTATGAATTCTGGTGTGGGTATAAACAATGGTATGAGCTTTGGGTACGGTATTATCCTAGATATTAACTCTTATATGAATTCAGGTAATGGCGTGAGCAATGGTAATGGCATGAATTCAGGTGCAAATATGTACTCTGGTGTTAATGGTGTCGGAGGACAGACAACTGGATCCAATAATGGTGGTGTACTGATGAATACAGCACATCAACAACCAAACAGAGGGAGTGTGAGTAACACTGGTATGGGTATTGGTAATGGACAACAATACCAAACATCAACAGGAGCGGGAGTTAATGTGCAGATCGGTACAGGAACAGGGATGGGACTGCACAATAGTGGTATGTCTAACGGGGTTACAGACGGTAATACTATAAATAATGGAGGAGGAATGCCAACAAATATGCCAGTGTCGTCAAGTGGTGGGGTTGATAGTTATAATAATAATAGACGACAAGTTAATAGTATGGGTTCAGCACAAGGAAATGGCGGTTCAATGCAGAATATGAATTATAACAATAATAATAATAATATCAATAATAATAACTACAACAGTCCTGTTATGAGACAATCCGACAATAGGATGCAACCGATGATGGGCTCTAATATGGGTAGAGATTATTCTCGGGATGGATCTGAGGACATGGATATGAGCAACAATATGGGAAATTATGGGATTAGGATGACTAATATGCTGCCAATGGATAATGATGTTGGAATGGATATGATTTATATACCGGACAGTTCAGACACTAAAACAGATAAACAAATTGTAAAACCTAATAAACCTCTGTCGACATACAGGTCCTACAAATATTAATAATAATTATAATATAAAACAGTATAAATAGTAAATAAAAAACAAAAAAATACATATTATTTTGAACTAATAATCTAATATACAAAAATTACTCTATCATTGCTGCATATTTATTTTTGAACACAAAAATCATTTATTTCATATATAAATATATTCAATAGTATATAATAAAAAATATATATAAAACATTAAAAATGTAATTCAAACTATTTCATTATATTATACCTTATATTTTAATAATTGTATTAATAAAAATATAGAAATAAAAATAAAAAGTCAATAAGAACTCGAGTTAATTATGAGTTCCTCTATTATCGACTGGTCGGCCATCGTTGAGGTGTCGCCAAAGTCAAAGTCATTTCGGGTGACTTTTGCCAACAATCGGCGCATAATTTTACCCGATTTAGTCTTCGGCAATGATGTTAACGGTCGGATCATATCGGGTTCGGCCAGTGCTCCGATTTTTTCGCGGGCTTTCATATAATTAATAATATTTTTAAAATTAATTAACTGAATAATTGAATTTATAATAACTTAATAATATAATAATATAACTTTATATACACTATTTACTGTATTATATATTATAATTTTCAATATAAAACTAATATTATTATTAGTGATTAGTAAAAATTATTTAATTTAACATAAAGATAACTTAAAGATAAAAAGATATTTATTTAATTATTATGAAATTATTATTTAAAATATAACTATATTTGTTGACAAACCCCGATGTTTGATATCTTTATTGAGTTCGCTGTTGAACTCAAACCCGTTATTTAGTACAACAAACACATGAATACATTGTCCTTTTATAGGATGGGGCGCCGATACTGCAGCTGCTTCAGCAATGGCCCGGTGCTCAACAATAGCCGTTTCCACTTCAACTGTTGACAGTAGATGTCCCGATACGTTAAGTGTGTCGTCATTGCGACCAGTCATCCAATAGTAGCCGTCACTATCCCGTCTTACGCCATCACCGGTCGAATAATATCCGTTAAACTTCTGAAAATAAGTTATTTGATACCATTCATGTTTGCCATCAATGGTACGAGCTAATCCGGGCCACGGCTTTTTAAAAGCTAACTGTCCCACTGCCGGTCCTTCAATCTCTTTACCATTACTGTCCAATACTACAGCAACAACTCCGAAAAAAGGAAAGGTTGCCGAACCAGGTTTCATAGGTGTTGCTCCAGGAAAACACGTTATCATAGGTCCGCCCTTTAAATTAAAAAAATAAAATCTCATAAATGATTTGATACTATAAAATGTTGTCACAAGTTTTAATAGATATATTAATTAAATAAATAGTATTTACAGTCTCTGTTTGCCAATAGTTATCGACTACAGGACACCGTTGATCACCGACAACATCCCAAAACCAATACCAGGCTTCGGGATTAATTGGTTCGCCAGCGGTTCCCAACACTTTCAATGAGTCGCGTTTAGATGATTTTACGTAATGATCGCCAAACTTCATCAACGATCGTATGGTTGTCGGCGCCGTATAGAAAATATTGACGTCCAACCTGTCAATGATGTTCCAGAGCCGTGATGGGGTCGGGTAGACAGGTGTACCCTCGAACAGTACAACAGTGCACCCGTTGGCCAGTGCTCCGTACACATTAAACGTATGAGCGGCCATCCATCCCAAGTCGGCAGTAGACAAAAACACGTCACCGTCCGTATAGTTGAACACATATTTAAAAGTTAAATAAGAGTATAGCAAATAACCGCCGACCGTATGGACCATCCCTTTAGGTTTTCCTGTACTTCCGCTAAATTTTCAATAGTTTTTTTAGAATAAAAAACATTTTTTTTGAAGTTGTGATTGTAATCATAATACAGTACATGTTTATTATACCGTATATACCGTATATATATATATATATATATTATATGTTTGAAATATAATTTTCAATATTATATTTTTTGTTTAATTACGTTTTTAACTACAATTTTATTGTGTTTTATTTGTTTACATTTGCCTATACTATTGCCTTCTACTGCAGTCCTTATAGTTTTAATATAAAATTAATTTATAACGAGGAAAATAAATTTAAAAAACGTATGTTTTTATTAAATAGTCATAAATTTTATTTTTTGTATAACTGAAAAAATTTCATTATTAATGTTTAGTTATGCAAAAAACATTAATTATAATTTATAAATATCTGTAAATAATATTGATTTTCTATATTTAATTTTTGTTTTTATAAAAAAATGTAAAAGTTTAATTAAATTATAGTTATTTACTAATTATAAATATATTAACTATCAAAGAGATCAAAGTGATTTTACTTTTGAATATATAAAATAAATATTAATATATTAATTATAATAATACTTTTAAAATAGTTAAACTAGTAATACTTTAGTAGTAAACTTTTTGATAAATATTTAAATCTATTAATTATTTACTGTCTTAAACTTGAAATTGTTTATTATATCGTATTAATAATTAATAAACTTTATGATAACAAATTAAATTTACAAATTATACATAAATTTTTTGAAATATAAGATTTGATTAATTATTTGCTATATGACCACAAAATTATTTAACTGATAAGCTATCTCTCTCTCTTTCACTTACTCACTCACTCACTCACTCACTCACTCACTCACTCACTCACTCACTCACTCACTTAGTCACTAAATAAATACTTAATAATTCATTCATTAATACTGTAATTAATTAATTTATTTAATGAATTTAAATGTTAACTAACATACAGTAATAATTTATAAAAACCTGGTGTATAGTATAAAAAGTGGATCCTCGGCCTCCAACCAAACTGGTTGACAATAATCGGAAACACTTGACATGATATCTGTCCAAAATATATCGATCTTATTGTTCCAATTAATGGCATAATTATAGTTAATATCTTTATTATTTTGTTGATGACTAACGCTTAGGTCTAAATGTGGACTTACTATACATGCAATCATTTGGTGTCCCCTTTAATTAAATTGGAAAAAACACAAATAACTAAAATATAATTATATATATAAAGATTATCATTATAATAATATATATATATTACTTATGTTCACATATATTCAAAGCTTTATCAGTGATATCTTTTAATGGTATAAATTTGTTGGCCCGATAGGCACCATCTGAGGTCACTATTAGACAACAATTAGCGTCTATAATGCGATCGGCCAGTGCTTCGGCAGAAAATCCAGCAAACTTTATAAATTAAAAGTTTATTTAAATAACATTTTAAAAAATTAAATAATAAAAATTAAATATAACTTACTATAACTGAATGAATAGCTCCAATACGGGCAGAGCCTAACATAGCGATCACTAATTCAATTGATACCGACATATAAATGGCAACTCTGTCTCCCTTTTTAATGCCCAAACTTTTCAATGCGTTGGCAAACTTACAGACCTCTTGTTTTAGCTCATTATATGTTAGATGTTTGTAAGTGTTTGCATCGTTAGACTCCCTAATTTGTTTGCATATAATATGATGATAAATATTACATATTCAAAGTTAATTGTTTTAAAATATTAAAAAATTAGTTACCAATGATAGCACACCCTATCTCCCAATCCCTTTTCGATGACACGATCCACAACATTATAACACATATTAGTGACCATACCGTCCATCCATTTCATATAAATGGGTCCATTGTTTAGATCAAAGTTATATTTGAGAAAATCATTATTCTGTGACCAACTCTTCCAATAAAACTCTTTTGCGATATCCATCCAAAATGCTTCGGGATCTTCAATAGATTTCTTGTAAAGATGTTTATATTCATTGATACTTGAGATGTGTGCCGTCCTCTTGAACTCATCGCTCGGATAGACGATCGATTGATTGGGTTTGCCGTTAATAATCATTTTATAATTAATTTTTGTCAAACACTTGTATTAACAGACAATCTATAAACTTTTAATCACACAAAACATTTGTATGTATATCACAATTAATAATAAAAATATATTTTTTTGAAAATATATTTCTAATGTTATTAAAGATTTTAAGTCAAAATCTTTAGTCTTTGTTATATTTGTTAAACCATAATAAACATAATATTAAAGTTGTAAATCATGTCATTTTATTATATCATATAATTACATAAAATTATATATCAGACTTTATTTAAAACATATTTTTATTTTATTTCACTTTAATTTCACATTAATAAATAACAAATATTAAAAGTAAAGAAATAGTAATATTGATATAATAATTTTAATTGTTTTATAACTTTAGGAAAACTCTATAATAAATATAACATGAAACTAAATATTTCGTGTTTTCAATCAATCAATTAATATTTTAAAAAATACATGTAATTATTATATTCATTCACTAAATCTTTTTAAAAAATCTATATATTTAACACAAAATTTTGTTTTAATATTTATGTATAGATCTAAATATTATGTGTAAGTAAAAGCAAAAGTGAAATTCAATCATTTTTTGTATGTCAAGATTTAAATCAATTTTGATTATAATTTATAATATATAGTATATTAAATAATACTGTATATAATTTATAAAATCCTATATAGACTTTCAATTACTTTTTAATTAACCCCAACTATAATGTAACAAAATATACAAAACATATTGAATAGTAATTCAATCTAAATGTAATTGTAAGTCAATTTTATCTAAAAAATTATGTTTATTAATTATAATTGCCTCGAGTTATATAGATATTCCATTTTGTAATTAATTAAAATTATTATAACAATAATTTGGATAAAATCTAATAAGTTTTACATACTTTTGTTATATTTAATTTAGTTTAATTTATATTACAATAGTATTTTTGCTTCAAAAAACAACTAAACAGTTTGCTAAAACAATTAAATAATAAAATTCTTTAAATTAAATTTATCATTCAATGATACTTAATCTTAATAAAATATAATGTTTATTATCACTTTTGATGACTTTGGGATTATCACTGTAATATTAATTTATGACTTTAATAATAAATGTTTTTGCTATGCGTTGATATTTATTGAATTTATATTTTAAAAATAAATAAAATATCAATAACATTTTTTATATGATACTTGTATATAATAAATTACTGTAATATAAAATTTATTTTTAATTAAATTAATAAAATACACTAAAACAGAAAAATACTAACTTATTTGCAAAGGATTTTTGTTTTGTTTGTTAAATACTAACAGAAATTGTGTAACAATTCTAACAATAAAACTATTTTTTAATTTTTATACTGTATTATTGTTTTGCTATTTTGAAACTTTATTTAATTATTAATAACTTATTTGTATAATATTTATAAAATATTTTTAAATAATAACAAAAACAACAAACATTTAATTAAATTTATGAATTTAATAATTTCTTTTAAATATATTTTTATATAAATTACAGTAATTAGTGTACTTTGAATTATAGTAATTTTGCAAACTTATTAAAAATTGTAGTTATCTATAATAAATTAGTATTTTTCATTATTATTTTAAAAACTAACATAAATTTTAAGCAAACAAACTTCATTTTTATTTTCATATAAAGTTATAAAAAATATATATTGTATATTATTAGGTTTTTATGATTATTTATAATTATTATTTTTTTATAAAATATATGATTGATCAATTTTTCATTATCGACTAATTATTATGTAATAAAATATATAACAAAAATTTTATTTTACAACAACTAAATAAGTCAACTAAATTTGTCAAATAAGTAGTGTCTCTACTATAATGTAATCTTAGAAAGCGATTAATATTAATTTTATAGATATACGCAAAATAATTTAGATAACAATTATTAATTTTTGAAATAAAATTCCGTATTTGGATAAAACACTCTTAACTTGTAATCCTTAATTTTGCTGACATATACACCACTGAACTCAACGGCCGAGTCTTTCTTGTCTATCAAACCCACATACGACTGTCCCGAAGCTGTTGAAGATCTTTCAATGCGTGCATTATATACCATATCATCTTTGGCTTCATAAATATTAGGTGACGACGTTTGTGGCCATTCGGCCTATACTTCTAACTCAGTTTTTAACTTAATATTTATTAATTTTAAATAATTTAAAAATATAATCAATAAACTATATATAAATTATATAATAATAAAAAGAATTTTTGTTTTAATTATATATCTTTCTATTTTTGTAAAATAAAATAATATAAAAATATTATAATAAAATTTATGTTATAATGATATTATTATATCTTACTAAAAATCTTAATTATAACTAAATAATAATTTTAGATTATTAATTGCTAAATTTAACTATTTAGTAACATTATTTTAAAAGTAAATTTGAATATTAATGAACTGAATTATTACTTTATTAAACTTATATATGCTATATATTATATGCTTATTATTTAAATGCTTATATATTAAACTTTCTGTATGTCATTGACAACAAATACTTTATCATAATTATAACTCATACTATTAAGTCTCATAAAATAAATTTGATTAATGTGAAATACATTTTGATTTATTAAATATATTGAGGAAAATGTATAATATATCAATCATTTTAGATTTTCACAATAAAATAAAATATTATTTTAATTAGAAATCAATTTAATTGCTAAACAAATTATTATAATATTTTATTGGACTACTTTGTTATACTATAATTATAATAACATATAATTATATTTCTAATCAAGTAATTGTATTTTATCTAATTCTGAATGATTGACACTGTATTCAAAACGGAGTACATTATTTCCATACAATAGGGGAACAGTTAGGTCGACGTATGTATTGTCACTGAAATGACCCCATCCGGCACCCGATGGCTTGTATGCAACCGCTAATGTATGCAAATTATTAACCACGAGATGATGTGTTGAGTCTTGATTTTCTGCATTTGCATAAAACACTCTTAACTTGTAATCCTTAGTTTTGCTGACATATACACCACTGAACTCAACGGCCGAGTCTTTCTTGTCTATCAAACCCACATACGACTGTCCCGAAGCTGTTGAAGATCTTTCAATAAGTGCATTATATACCATACCATCTTCGGCTTCATAAATATTAGGTGACGACGTTTGTGGCCATTTAGCCCATACTTCCAACTCAGTTATGCCGACGTAATAGTCTTTTCCAACATTTCTGGTAAAAACTACTCTTATTTGTGATGTTTTAATGGCTTTAAATGTTATAATATTTTTGTCATTTGGAGAACATTGAGACGGATAAGACATTTGATTGTCAACATCTTTCCACTCATTGTTTGCAGTATAGTATTGGATAACCATTTTTGTTGGACAATCAGTACGACCTTCATGTGTGACTACATCTGAATAGACATAGACATTGACAGAGTTTACTGTCTTATCTCTACCAAAATCTACAGCAAACCAATCAGTTTCATGTTTTGAATTAAAGTTTGACCACCGATTGCTCGGCACATAATCATAAAATACGCGTCCATCGACTGCCTGCCACGTGTCTCCCGGACTGTTGTCTGTGAACGATGCATAAGGTCTGGGATAACCATTACGATTGATATTTACGGCATAATTTTCCATCCTTGAGCTAATCGGTTCATGTGTATAGTCTCCAACATCTATAACAGCCTTTTCCAACCCTTCCTTGTGATAAACACTGATACCATTCACATAAACAGTCATACCTTTGCCTACTTTATATTTATTTCCAGTGCTATCGTATACGATACTAATATTTTTACCATGGTACAATAAGTTTTCCAATGCAAAATAAGACCACGATTTGGGAACCAATGGATCTATAATTATGGTATTGTCTTCTTGGGGTAAAATACCTAATAATTCAGTCAATACATTATCAGTATATGTGGAGTGGGCGTAATGTTCCGAGTGGTTACTGTATATAAAAAAAATTATATTAATAATATATTTATTTTTTAATTGTTTGAAGATTTTTGTCTATAAATGAAACTTTAGATTAAATGACTGAAACAATACATTTTTTCACACATAAATGTATAGATTATTAATGTTATCAAAACCACAACAATCACTGTTAAAGTATTGCTTTAACTATTAGACCGAAAACCTTGATTTTCAAACTAAAAACACTTTTCAATCTATTGCTTACAATGAATCGCCGACCCAGAAGTCACCGACAGGTGAATGACATTCAGCCACATATGGCTTTCCATTCTTGTATTGAGTCATTGTATAGGCTTTCAATAGTTGTATATATTTATCAATATTAATGTTTGGATTTTGATGACTATATTTGCGAATATGAGTGGCCACCGATCTAAGTACATGAGCTGTAGAGTATGGCCATGAGTTACCGTTCCACCAACAACACTGGTGTTTTTGTTTGCCGTCATACCATTTGCTTCGGGTCTCACAAGTTGATGGACCGTATTCTGTACCCATACCTTGCTGGTCATATAACTGGTTTAACGCCAGCGAGTAATTGAATTGATTATCGGGAACGCCATATCTCCACGGATACAGACCAACCTCTTCTCTGGTATCTAACAGTTCATTGTTTGGATTATTTTCTCTAAGAATTATAATAATTAAAAGTATAAATAAATATTTAAAATAAATTTTATAATACCGTATAATACCTTTGCATGTGATAAAAGAATTGTCTCTTAGAATCCCAAAGATGTGTTAAAATAGCTTTTCTTAAGTTTTCTCCTTTAGTCTGAAAATCTTTTTCAATGTCTTTATTTCCAGCTAACTGTGCAATCCGTACAATTGTCTGTGCGTTTCCAAACATTTCCGAGTTATGACTGGGTCTATAGCCTATGCCACCGCCAAACGGGTCTTTAGTCTGTACAGAAGCGGCTGAATATTCCTGTGCGTCCCAAACGGGTGATATATAATAGAGTCCCAGTTTGGGTTCGTAATGGTCTAACCAGTCATTGTATATCTTAACAAAACCATCCAATTGTGATGTAATGAAGTCTTTATCTCCATTAACCAAATATGTATTATATGCCGACTCTGTTATCCATTCAGAGTACTGATTATTAGCCGCTTTATTTAGTTGACGCGCGTAAATGTTTATGTAATCCTATTATAATTTACAAAATTATATTTATAATATTACAGTATAACACAAATAACTTCATATTATAAAAAAATATATAATATAATATGAAATTTTGAATATTTTAGTTTATATGTTGCTTTGCTCTAAAATCTATTATACCTTTACATATCTGGTATCTCTTAACCACCGCGACTCATATATTTGGTGTCCACCGGCGGCATTGATAACACCAAACTTTTGACTATAGCCGACATCATTGACAAACTCGGTGGTCATATAACCAGTTCCTCCTATTATGTAACGTAAGTGTCGCTTATGTGATGACCAACGATAGTAATACACGTCTTCAATGTTTTTGTCGGGAATATCAATGAATGGTATGTTATCTAAAAACCATTGTTTTTCTGCAAATTGACTAACTTTTGATGACCTGTCAATAAAATTATTATTATTATTATTATTTAGTGCATATAATGAACTAAATAATATTGATAAAACAATTGACAAATGTATTGTTAATTTCATTTTAATAATTAATAAAATATTAATATTATTTGAAATCAGCACTGATTTAAAATTATATTTAAAAACGACTATATATACAAAAATAATTGTGTGAAAGCTGTTAAGTTCACACAAAATAATCAAAAAACAATAAGTGCAGTATTTAATACTGTATTTATATGATTAGATTATATATATAATACAATTTTTTCAAAATATTTATTTTTACACTATTATACATAAATACTTTATCTATTTATCTATATTTTTAATTAATTAAAAATGAATTTATCATTTATATAAAGTATTAAAAAATGGAGTTATTAATTGTTTTATTTATAATAGAACTACAATAACAATATATTAATATTTTATTTTATAGCATAAAATATGTAATGATTTTATTATTTTAACAAATATTAAATTTTTAATTACTTTTAAATTTATCATATTAGGGTATTTATTTGTAAGATTTTAGTACAATCTTTTTTAATTTTTTAATAATTTAATATCACTAATTAAAAAAATTATTTTATCAAATAAGTTACATAACAATTATCTGTACATTTTGTGTATTTTTACATAAATATACTTTGATTTAATATTGTTTAGATTAAACTTTTATTTATGTATATTGCATTTTATTTATCAATATATCTATCAATTTTATTTATTTATTTAACAATTAGCATTTTTGCAATTTTATAAAAACGTGTAATAAACAAATAAATATGTTTAATTTATTTAAATATTTAATGATAACTAAATCATTAATGACAATGAATGTCATGTTTCATAATAGTGACTCCAAAATATTTGTCATCATATGATTCAGTAACTGAAAAACAATTAATTTTATGATTAAATTAAATTTGTATTATCATAATTGAAAAAATACTAATTTTAAACTCAATAATAACTTTTAACCAAATATAAATTACCGAGTTACATATACAATTTTTCCATTTTTATTTTCAATAAATAACATTGTATTTATTGACTCAATAAAATAATAAAAATTAAAACAAAAAAAAATAAATATTAAAATACCTGGATTATTGTCATATGAAAATTCCAGAAAATTCTCAAAATAAATGAAATAATTAATAGCATCTATATTTTTAATATGATTTTGACCTAGCTTCAATACGCGCAATGATGGCAATGAATAGCTTATCTGATCGATGGACAACCATTGATCCAAACTGTTGTACCTAAAGTCAATATACCATAAACTGGGCCATCGATTACTTAATAAAAATTGCAAATCATTTAGTAAATTATGATTGATTGACAACATTTTGAGATTTGAAAAATTTTCCAGCGCATCCCTGGCCACTGTTGTTAACATATTATTTTTTAGTGTTAAAATTTTTACCGACGGCGCACACGTCATATCACGAAAATTTTTAGCCAAATAATACAGATTACTGTTCTCAATGTATATGGCCTTTAAATTTGTAAATTTATAAAACATTTTCCACTCCAACTCCTCATATTGGTTGCCAACGACTGTATTCCGCAAAATAGTCAATACTTCCAAATATTCGTAGTCTAACCCATCAAATATGTGTGACTTATCTGTAATATAATATCTAAAATCGCAGTGACTGATCACCAAATTTTTTACACTCAAATCTTCAAATGTTGTATACAAATGGATAAATCTGAGTCCTTCCAGTACTAGACTATTGATAACTTTCCCCTTCAATGGCTGTAAGTCATAGAGATTAGTCATTCTTTCGCCATAAGAATCGCATACAACTGAATATGAAGTTTTTGGTCCGAAACCATCTAATAAAATATTATTATTATTATTATTATTGTAAAATCTTCATAGTTTTCAATTACCTTTAATAGCCTCAAAACAGCGACAATATGCGGGACACCATTTATTTTCATAATTGTCTACTTGTCTATCAAGTATCAGACATGACATCAAATAAATACAAGTAAAAGACATCAAATCCATTATTTTTAATACACACAATAAACAGATTTAGTTTTACATAATAATAAATTAATAATAGCTTTTATCAATATCAACAAAACATTGTTTTTTAAATTGTGTCGGATTACTTCAATTGAAGCCATAACTTATCGGATACTTGAGTTTGATTAAAATTGTTAATATCGTAAATAAAATGTATTTGAAATCTCTTAAGCTTTTTTATTGTTTTATTTTCAATATATATAGTATATATATTGCATATTACAGTATATCCTGTACAATACTACAGTAACATAACTTATTATACAATATGATAACAAAATAAACTATATCTATCTATGAAATTGTGTACATAACACAATTATCTAATATTATATACAATAAATATAAATGTTATAATATGTTTTTAAGTAAAATAATTGAATTATTTTACTTTTATATAATCCATTTAAAAGATATTATAAATTTAATGGTAATTTTTAAATTATAAAATTTAAACTTAATTAAACCCAGTAAGTTCATTAAAGCAGTTTTAAATTAAAAATTTTAATATGACTTAAAAAACAAACAATATCTAATTAATTATATCTATATAGTTTATTTGACAATGTATAATATTAAATATTTTTAATAATATCTAAAATTATTAATAATAATGTGAAGTAATTAACAAATCAGTTTACAAGTCTCAATAATTTTCAAGTTTAAAATGTTAAGTTAATTATTAAGTAATATATATTTTTAATTTGATAAGTTTAAACACATTTAAATTTTCTCATAGTTATCTTAATTGTATCATTTTTACTAACGGATATACTGGAAGTATAAATTCATTATACACTATATAATCCATTGTTTTTATAATAAATTATTATAACAATAAAAACTGAATAATAATAATAATAATAATTAAAACAATGTTTAAAATTATACTCATTTTTTGTTTGTCAACTTTGTTGACAGTTAATGGATCGACACTATTGACTAAACGACAGACCAGTCAATTAGAAACCGATCCATTGGTTCAGTCGTGTCTCGAGAAGGCTAGCGATCAGATCCTGGTTTGCGCTGAAAAGGCAGTGAAGGACTGGAGTATTACCAAAGATACTGATCCTAAATCAAAGGCTATGTGTTGCGCCTCATGGGAGGAGGCGGACTGTCTCGAGTCAGCAGCAAAAGTATGTTTTGTTTTTTTTCAAATATTAAATATTATAATAATTTATATTTTTTTATTGCAAAAAATTAGGCCAAATGTACAGCTGAAGAGAGTGTAGCAGTCAATAAGTTTATCAAAAATTTAGTGGACATCAATGAAAAAGATAATTGTCAACAATTTAAATATCATTCAGATGTATGCAAAAAATCTTATTATTAATGATAAACTGTATGTTATCTAATCAATTCATTATGAAATCAACTAAAAAAAAATTGAAAATTAAATAAAATAATAAATAAATAATATAATAACTTATCATTAATATTTATCAATTTGTGTTTTCTATTATTAACTGTAAACTTGAAAACAACTGCATCTTAATAATGTTTATTTTTCACTAATTTAGCTAACAATAAAGTAATTGTGTAAATTACTTTAATAAAATAATAAATAAATAAAATATTTATTTTTTATTTATATCTAAGTTTAGATTAATAAAAATAGAAATCTTTCAATTAAGGGATACATTAAAATTGAATATACTGAATGTTAACAATTTAAACAATTTTTATCATTTATTACAACAATACAATGAATAAAGTACTACAATATATTTATTACATTATAATTTAAAATATCTTTAAAAAATCTATTATACATGTGTATTGTTTTGGATTTAGAAACCACTTAAAGATAAAATAATTTTAACAACTATTTTGAAATTAAATTGATTTTGAAAAATGACTTATTATATAGAATATACATTATATATAGTATCTAAAAGTAATTTAACTGATGATCGGCGTGAAGCACAGCATCTGTTATCTTTTAAGTCATTGATTAAATCTGATTATAAAAACAATGGTATATACAGCAGACTATAGTATATAAACTAAAACATAATTAAAATTCACAAAAATATATAAATTATTAACAAATAATTTATATTTAATAAAAAATGTTTACTATAAAAGTTTACCATTTGGTCATTTGGTTAGTCGTATTAGTTAATAATGTTTACAGTAAGGTACGTACTGTCAGTAACACATATACCAATCCTATATCAATGGCGTCACCCGATCCATGGATGCAATACTATAAGGGCTACTATTATATGACAGCCACATCCGGTGATAGTACTGTACGTATGCGTAAGTCTAAGACATTGGCCGGACTATACAATGCAGAGTTTAAGATTGTATTGAACCATACTTTATACCACACGTGGGCCCCGGAGTTTCATATGTGGAACAGTAAATGGTATCTATATTTTACAGCCGGAGCTACAAAAGACTTTAGCTCACAGCGCATACATGTTGCCGAAAGTCTGGGCGATGACCCTATAGGGCCATATAATTTCAAAGTAGGAAAACTAAGATAAAAGTTTGTCTCATTTTTTAGCTGTATTTTTTGTAAATATTTGTTTTAAGGCCGATATTCATGATGACGGTTATGCCATCGATCCGAGTCTTATAACAATTAATAATGGCTTATATTTGTTGGGCTCATTCAATACTCCCGGAATGCAAGACTTGTTTATACGTCCGCTAACTAATCCGTGGACACCCAATGGACCAAAAGTTTTACTGTCGTCACCTACTAATCCTTGGGAGAGAACCAACCTACCGATCAATGAGGGTCCTGAGCCATTACAACACAACAATCGTACATTTATTGTATACTCTGCCGGGGCGTGTGGAACACCTGACTATAAATTAGGTTTACTCGAGTTTGTCGGCACCGACCCAATCAATGCCACACATTGGCACAAAAATCCGCAACCGGTGTTTGTACGCAATGACACCAATCATGTGTACGGTCCGGGACATAACGGCTTCTTTATGTCGCCCGACGGTAGCCAATATTGGATAGTATATCACGCAAATGACAAACCAGACTATGGATGTACTAACAAACGTACGGCAAGAGCCAAAAGGTTAGACTGGAATAGTAACGGAACCCCACATTTTGGTACACCCGACCCAATAGGCCTACAATTGATAGCACCCTCTGGTGAATGAATTTAATAATGAATAGAAAAATGTGGCATTACTTACCTTAGAGGGCTTCGTTTTTTATATTGTTTTTAAAGTATAATATAAAAGCATTAAACTTATCTTTATATTTGGGTTAGTTTGGGGGTGAGTGGGGTAGGGTGTGGGAGGTTAGGAAGTGGTGGTGGGGTGGGTGGAGTTAGATAGTAGTATATTAAGTAGAGGTGGTGTGGAGTCATATTATGATTTATATTATTTAATTTCTAATGTGAATACAATCGAGTGATTTCACGTGCAAATAGTATTATTAATACATTTAATATAGTGTTGTAATACACGCGCAAACAATATAAAAAACGAAGCCCTCTAAGGTAAGCGTTGCCAAAAATGTCATAAATTTCAATTTATTATTCAAATTAATATAATTACTTACAAACTATTGTATAATTACTTACTAACTATAGTTAACTATTTTGAGATAATAATACTAAATAAATAATTATTTTAAAAAATCATTTTGTAATTTACTTTAATAATGATTTTGTAGTTTTTTTTAAAGAAAAAATTAATAAAAACTTTCAATTTTATCTATAATTTGTGTTAATTGTTTGCTTTGTAACAGAGCATTAAATTATTAATAATTAAAATTATCAATAAAATTAATTATTAAATTAAAATAACTTTAATAAATATAGTTATAATAAATATTACTCATAATTAAATATAATTTGCTGTATTATTATATAATAAGTGCATCAATTAAAATATTGCTTTCTAATAAAAGTTAATAATTAATAAAATTTATTTTTTTTATAATTTTTTAGACTTATTAAAAAGTCAAAGTTTATTTTTAAGTCATTTAATAAGTTATATATAAAAAGTAAGTTTAAATGCTATCAAATTGATTACTGATATCTTGTTATGTGAAATCTAACATAATGTTAAATTAAAACTTTCTGATATAAGTTTAAAGCTATTAAATAGTTAGAGATTCAATAATAATTGTAGATTTAATAAAAAAAGTAAACTTTTAAATATTTTCTTAATTATTAAACTATTTATATTGTGCTATAATTTTAGAAAATGATTCAAAAATACAATTATTATTATTTGTTGTCTCTATTGTCAGTCTATATGACTGTATATATTAGTTCATCACTAATTATGCCATTACTAGATCCCGGAGTGCAATCGTGTTTTGAAAAGATAACCGATGATGTATTTGACTGTTCGGATCGGGCGGTCAAGCACTGGAACATTACCAAACAGACTGACCCAAAATCACGGCCCGCGTGTTGCGGCTCATGGGATGAGGCAGACTGTATACAATTGGTCGCATCGGTAATAATTTATATAATTGTTATAATTTCTTTAAATACAAATAATATTTTTAATAGACATAAATATATATTTATATATTTTAACATTTGTTTATTGCATTAGAATAAGTGTACAATTGATGAAAACAGTGCCGTAAATAAATATATATCAGGACTGATAACTGATGAGGAAAGAGACAATTGCCAGTCATTTAAATATCATTCAGACTCTTGTAAACTATAATATTGTTTTATAGATCAACAGTATTGCTACTATAAAATAATAAATAAATAAAATTTCAAAAAATTATTTTAACTGTAATTGTATTTTTATATAATTATTATTGATAAAATTATACAATTTTTTTCTAGTTACACTTTAAATTGTAATTATTGATAGTCATGTGTTTTTATAAATTAACAATTTATTATGAAATAATAATTTTGTAAATTTTTTATCTAACATATTGATATATTCACATCAAACAATACAAATAATATTATATAAATAATATAATTTTATACATAAAATATTATATAAATTTTGTAATTTTCTATATTTACTATTAAAGTTAATGTATTATATTTAAATAAAAATATAAGACAATGTTTAAACTATTGATTGTTAGTTTATTTATAACAACGACTATGTGTTACAATTATAATAAGTTAATCAAACATGAAATGTTAGATCCGGATGATCAATATGTTAAGGACTGTTACTCTAGAATACCGGACCAATTGCATGACTGCACAATGAAAGTGATGACCGACTGGGGTCTTACACCGCATACCGATCCCAAATCACGTGAGTCGTGTTGCGGGTCGTGGCAATTGGCCGATTGTATCCGAGCTAATGCTGAAGTATGTATTAATATTAAACTATTACTTATTAACTATTATTAATATTAAACTACAATTAAATTATTGTTTACTTATGTATTGTATTTTTTAGATAAATTGTTATGAATGGGAAGTGGAGGCCGTAATCAAACTTCAAAACAAGACTATCACTAAACAGCAAACTACTAATTGTTTTAATTATGTCTATCATTCAGATATTTGTATAAAAACTTTTTCTATATAATTGTTTGTTTTATTAATTATACGGTATATGTATACAAATTATATATATATACAATTTATATAATATATATATATTATTAGTATAATAAATAATAATTTTAGATGATAAGATATAAGCGTTTTTAATTTATTAATCTAATGAATGATGAAAAATAAAATTATAATATAGTTTAATAATAATTTTATTAACAATTTAATAAAAACAAAATTTAGAAAATTATATACTGTATATTCTTAAAATATAGTGATGCAATAATAATTTTTTTAATCCCATATAAATTACATACATATTATTGGTATATAAAATTATAAATATTGCAATTATATGTGTTTACTATAGATAAATAACCTATTAATGTCATTGCATTTATCTATAATCTCCTCATAAATCACAAATTGATAATATTATTTCATTTAATTCAACAAAAATTATTTACTACTGTATATTGAATATACATTACTATAATATATAAACAAAATATTAATAGAAATAAATACAATTTATTGTAAATATTAACTAATATTTCCAACCATTTCGCCAATCAATAGGACACAGATAACATTGTGGACAGCCTTCCCATAACATGCCATACAGTCTATTATATAAATATCAAAAGTCACACCACTTTTTTGAAAAACACATATAATTCCATTAAACTTTTATTATATAGTTTTTTAATGATTTATTAAATATTTTTATAATTTTTACAATTGTTTTGTAAACCAATTTATTTTATATATTTAATATCTGTATTTACATAATCAGTGATTTATTAATAGTGATATATTGATGAATATATTATCATACAGTAATATACAAATGCTATGTTGTTGTACATGAGTGTGAAAACATAATAATTTAATAATTTATAGTTTTTTGTTGATGATCTATATTTGATAATAATATGAATAAATGGATAATACTATTAGTTTGTACACAATTAGTATGTATGTGCCAGTCATACAAACCAATAATTCATCCGCCACTAGTGGCCAGTTGTATGGAAAAGACATGGACGCTATGGGTAGACTGTTTGGCACAATCGTATAGACACTGGAATATGACATTTAGTTGGTTAGCACCGGTAGTCTATGATCGCGGCTCTCAACAAGTTTGTTGTTCCAGTTGGCAGACATATGACTGTGTTAGTGACGGTGCTTTGGTATGATATTAATAGTAATAGTTTTACTAATAATGTTTAATAACTTATTTAATATTTTTTAAACTTATATAATACTTATTAATTATTAGAGTCAATGTAATATTACTGAACAAATGGATACCAAAAAGTTTATGAAAGAGTACATTGAAATGCAATCAAATAATGATTGCTTACATTTTCCTTATCATTCAAAGCAATGCAAAACACATATGAAATCAAGGATTTTGAAAAAACTTTTTACTATATATTGAAATAAAATTTGAATTTTGTATTTTATTTGAATTAGAAAAAAAATATTATTGTCAATAAACATATTTAAAAAACATAGATATTTTTATATCATGTAATATATCTGTAATAATCACAATATTTGTTTGTTTTTTATTAAAATTAAAATAATTATATAAATATATTAATTTAAGTATTTAATATTATCTAACATGTAAAAATTATATCAATAATATAAAAAATTATTATATTTCAATATGAAAAATAATCATTATTTTCATGTCTTTATTTTTAGCAAAATTTAATTATACAATATAACTAATAAAATATGAACATATGTGTCAATTAACACGTAATTTTATTAAGCAATCATAATAATTAATATTATTGATAATAATAATCAAATTAAATCATAACATGTAATATCATACAGTATATAATTAATGGGACAAAAACTTATAAAACATGTCATTTATTCAAATAATAACAATAATTTTTCTAATAACAACTATAATGATGATAACTATACCGAAAACAGTAGTGTGTTTGACTCCACCACCACAAGCAAAAAACTGTAATAAAAAAATAGGTAAATCCGCACAAATCTGTGTATATTATGCCTATAAACGTATGAATGAGACATTTAAATTGGGAAAACCTATCAACGATGATCCCAAATCTAAACAGGTGTGCTGTAGTAATTGGATAATTACAGATTGTATGATTAAAGAGTCCGAGGTACATTTTGTTGTTTTATTTTATTTTCTATATCTAATATTAATTAATTATAATTTAATTATTTCTAAAACATTGTTAGCGCAAATGTAACCCTGATGAACAAACCACTTTTGTCAAATACCTTGAATACAAAGTAAAACTAGAATCAAAAAATGATTGCATTAAATATGCTTATAATACAACAGCATGTAATTTGTAATAATTTTTAATATAATTGAATAGTTTATTAGTATGTAATTTTGATTAAATTTAAAAGAGAGATCCTATAATTAATTGTTTAATAAAAATTATCTTTTTAATTAAATTTATTTAGTTAGTGTTACTAACTGTATATACTGTGTAAAAATTAATATATTTAAAAAATTTAACAAAATAATCATATTTATTTATTCATTATACATAATGCATAAAATTAGAAATAATAATAATGTAATAATTAATGTCAATGAATTGTTAAAATAAATTGATTTATTAAAGTGTTAATTTTGTTAATTTTATCAAATTACTGATAAATTTATTTTAATTATAAATATCTTTTAAAAATATAATATTATAGATAATTTAAAACTCAAATAGTTTTTAAATTATCTAAAATACAAACTACTTTATAGTTGATTGACACAAATGTGTTTTTAAAAGTAAAGTTAAGTTTTAGTTAAAGTATGCAAAACAAATAATAATAACACTTTAACTTTCATCAAAATAGATAGCAAATTGTGATATATGTTTTATGCCTGAAGATATGTTTGTAATTAATTATTTAATGACTTTTAATTTTTCTAAACATTTAATTAAGTATTTTTGAATTAATAGTTTAAATATAAACCGTTCAAATAATTGCTTAATATTCAATATACTGTACAAAAATTATCGATAAAAAATAAATATTACATATGTTTGTCGTTCAATAAAATCAATATTCAAATAATACTTGTTCCACATAATAAATCTATAAGTAATAAATATTTAAATATATTTTTCATTAAATTTTTTAAATATTTAAAACTATATTATTATAATATTATTTATTCAGTTATATTTTTGTTTACAAATATATTAATTTACGGAAATACTTTTTATAATTTAATATTGAATCAAAACATTTGACATATTTGACGATTTTTATATCAGTTTACAGTTACAATATTATTGAGATCCTTCACATGAGGTTAGGGTTAAACAAATGTGTTTATCGTTTAAAAAAAATATTTAATATACACCAAAATAAATAAATAAATCATTAAATTTCGGGTCAAATATTATATTTTAATAAAATGAATGTTACAATAATAAATATTAGCAATTGAATGTTATAAAACTTAATATCTTAATAAAAATTTTATGCAATTTTGTTGTATTTGAAATATTTTTGATAATTTATTAACTTATTTTTTAAGTGTTAATTTAATTATAATTTTTTGCGCATTTCTAATAACTAATAAAAGTATTCATTTTTTTAGACTAACAAAAATTTTATTTTTGTTGACTCTTTATTATTATTTTTTATATATTGCAAATATGTTGATCCATAATAATGTTGTTATTAACATTATTAAGTAAATTGGTGTCTAAATTTAAAATAATTATACTCAATGAACCACAACAATACCTCTACCATCGATATACTGGGACTACAATTATTAGGGTGACTCTCCTTATTATGTAACACACACACATACACATACACACACATACATACACACACACACACACACACACACACACACACACACACACACACACACACACACACACACACACACACACACACACACACATACATACATACACACACTGACTGTGTTTTTCATATTTGATATTTAATCTTATATATAATATTGGTTTCGCATTATTAGTTACAATATTGAGAGACAAAAAATAGACAGACTGTGAAACAAAACAAAAAAATTAGTGTAACTTTTTTTTGACTAAAAAAATTTGATATATTTTCTAATGCAAAGCAATTTTTGAAACAAACAAAAAACTCTTTTTCTAAAAAAAAATAAAAGCCGACTACTCGTAAAATAAATAAATTATAGTTGTGTTACCTTAACATTGACACAAAAAATATTATAAACCAATCACTAATGCAATTGAGGTCTATATATATTTTTTTTGTTATTAGTGAGTGTGTGTGTGTTTGTTGTCAATATATTTCAATTGGTGTTATGTAACAGCAATTTGTTATAGTCAGCTAAATATGAATTTATAAAAAACTTATTTTGTTTTGACATTTATATTTAGTTACATAAACACAAACCCGTTTATAATGTTGTTTGCATTTGTTGATTAAATTTATAACTCAAGAAGTTTTATATCAGTTTCTAAAAAATTTGACTAATTTTTATATAGAATAATACTATTTATTTAGAAAAAAATATATTAAAATACTAATAAATAATATAAAATGTATATTTTTATTAAATTTAAGTAATTATGCTCCAAATTTTATTATATGAAGTGTATATATTAAATTATAATTATGTAAAAATAGATATAAACTTTTAATGAAGTGCTTAATATTCATAATGTTTATTAATTATTAATAATTATAATATAAAATAAATGTTAATAAAAAATGAAATAAGTTTCGGTGCCATAGCCAGTGGTAACCATCACCACAACGAACCGTTAGTTATGATCATATTATATATCCTATCATTGTTTGGCTGTATATTAATCTTTATAATTGTCGGCAAATTTATTATATCGTGTTTTTTGACTAAAAGGGTTCAATCATTTTTCATAGCAAACGATATGAATACCGATAAATCAACTAATGATAGCTTTAATACCATTGATGATGTCATCGATGATCATCAATGTTATGCCAACAATGATGAGTGTAATGTTAATAGTTTACGTACTTATAAGTCATCATTAAATAATGCAAATAATGGTGTTTCACATATTGAAGATGTTATATTTAAGGTAAACATTTTTTATTATATATAAGTTAATATAATGTACAGTACAATATATAATAATAACATAACAGTTATATACATTAGTAGTAGTAGTAGTAGTACTAGTAGTAAAAAATCATTTGATTACATTAATTTAGCAATTTAATATTTAAATATTTTATCTACTGTTTTCTTATCCTATTTATAATAAAGTATATGCATTACTGTAATGTTGTTAAATTAAAGTAATTAAATAATTAATATAAAAACATAAATGTTAGTTATCACAGATACAAATATCATCAATGCACCATGGTGATAAACAGCATTGCATTTGTCCCATTTGCTCGACCAGTCGTTTAGATAAAGCTACTGCTATTATGATTGCTAATCCAATCAACATAGAGCACCGGGAGTTAACATTAAGTGGTCCTAAATCGCTACCAACACTTCCAACACCCGCCAAACGGAAGTCACTTATATCGACACTAAGTATACGAAAGTCGAAAAAGCGAAACAAAATTCGTTTGGATTTATTTAAGACTTTGGATAAAACTTTAGCCAAAAATATGACTAACATTATGCCTATCGTTACGAAAGGACAGTCGGAAAGGATTGTTGTCATCAATAATAATAATAATAACAATAATAATGAGAAAAAGTCGTTGTCATCGGATTGCAAACAAATGGCTAATTATAACGATGTTATCTTTGAACTCAAACAACGATTTTCATCGATGACTAATATTAACAGTTTGCCCAATAATTTATGAAAATAATAATAATTTTTAACTAAATTTAATTAATTATTATAAATTGTAATACTAAACAAATCTATAATAAAAATATTTTATATTTATTTTATTTTTTTATACAATCGTAAACATATACTAAACAATAATAATATAACATTTATAGAACATTTACCCTATGATAATAATAGTAATAATAGTAATACAGTATTAACAATAAAACTATAAATATAATTATAAAACAACAAAACAATTACTAATACATAAAGTCATTTAAATATAACTAAAAAATATTTAACAATAATTAACATAACTTAGACTTATAATAAAAATACATTTTAAGTATCATTTAAAAATATTTTTTATTTATAATATAAAGCAATATTTTTTTTAAAAAAATATATATATTTCACAAAATAATTCTAATTATTAAAATAAATAAATATTTTTAAAGTTTTGTTAATATATACAGTATGATTGTATATATGCATTATACAGTATTTTTCACAACTGTAGGAAACGATTTTAATTATTTTAATAATTATACACCAATAAATTAAATTAATAATGTATAATAATTTATACGAATAAATATTACAAGTAATTAATAATATTGTAAATTTTATATTATTATTATTAAATTTAAATATTAATTAAAAAAATAAATACTTACAATTAAGTCATAATTAGATTTAAATAAGCTAAATAGATTTATCAATAAGAAAAAAAGTGTGTATAAACTATAGTACTGTATTTTTTAAGCACCGTTACCACAAAAAATTATAGGACTATAATTTTTTATATTATTTAATATACAGTCTATAATAGTTAATATAACAGACAAAAATTTAGTAAAATATGTTTTAAAAACTATCTAATAAATATAGGAATCTCATCAAAATATTCAATTGAATTTTGAATGTCAACAAATAGTTTGACTGTATATGCAATCTCTACGAGTGAACTATCAATAGTGGATATACAGTCAAACGGTAGGCTAATGCTGACAATGTCTGATATGGAGTTGTTTTCGAGACAGGCGTCGGCACAGTTGGCCGACACCAAGTCATTGCTGTCCAGATATATATACTCTTTCTTAAATGATGTCTTGCGTATCACTTGTGGCCAAAATCTGACTACTCTTGTGGATCGATTGGCCAAATGAAAGTTTATATATATTTTGTCGCCTATTATTATTTTTAATTATTTATACATTTATTAAATTTTATGTATTAATTGCATTTATTGCAAAAATATAAAGAGATTCAATTATACCTGGATAGTAGGTATCTTTGTCCATATGAGCTGACAGTCTAACGGTTCCTATTTTTATGCCATAATAGCGGAGCAAATTTTCGCGGACTGAGGCCACCGGTCTCTAAATAATTATTTTTAAAAAATAAAATAAAAAATATTTATTATTTTTAAAAAAATTATAATTTATACATCTCTGGTATGTGTGGTCACAACATTTGAGGGCATTTTTACAGTAAATTCTTGTTTTGTATTATAAGTATTGTCAGAAAATAGTTTATTATCAATGATTGCTTCGACATAATACATCACGTGACCATTTTTTACTTTATACGATGGCAAAAATGCACTAGATCAATTATTTTTAAAAAATACATTAATAATTGTTTGTTCAATAATGATGTTAATCACGAAAAAAACAATAATTACTTACTTATGCAAAATAAAATCAAACGGTACACGGTACAATGCATTTTGCATAATATCTGTTTTTACTATATTTAGAAAAAATAATATATTTTACATTAACTAAATATTGCATTAGATATTTTAAAATGCATAATGAATTTACTATAATATAATAATAATCAATATTTTTTTTTAATAATTGTAAATTTAATTTTAATAATTATTATTTAAAACTAGAAATGATACAATTTTGTGTTTTATTTTTTAGTTTATCCACCTGAACGCTATATTATCTACTTAAGGTTATCACCAGTTAATTTGGTCACTTTTTCACTGGATTATCAATATGCAAAAAATAAGCAAAAATAAAAATTATTTAATATACTGTACCAATGTCTCTTAGGTTGAGCGGAATCGACATAAAATGTGTAGTTCCCAAATCACGTGTTTGTCGATAAAATCTGTATAAATTTTTTTTTATAAATATTGATTTTTTAATTAAAAATATTTTTTTTAATTAGTGGTTCAATTAATACAAATATATAATTGCCATAATATCACATACTTTGCATGACATTCACCGATTGCTGTAATGAAAACGTGTTTACATTTTAAACTACCGTTCAATTCAATGATTAGCATACAATTGACTCGTTCGCCACTTTTGTAATAATGTTTGGGTTCAACCAATACCTCAAATCGAGTCAATTGAAACCCCATTATTGTATAAATTATCAAAAATATATTAAAAATAATTATTTATTTTTTTCATATAAAAATTGCATTGTTTTTAACAATATATTTATAAATAAATTAACAACAAAATGGACAATATTTTATTATATCAATATGTTTAGTGCGATGTTTAGGAATGTTGTGATAAAAATAATATAATATCTAACTATATATCAAATATATAATACTGTATACAGTATCTTTTAATATATCTATATATATATATATATGGCATAAACACAAACAGTTAGAATTTTAACGATAATATTGATTTTTACAACCCATTGAACACACACACACACACACACACACACACACACATAGATACATACACACACACACACACACACACACACACACACACACACACACACAGAGATATATATATATATATATATATATATACACATGTGGCATAAGTAGTATATCTTTATACTGTACACTACAAATTTAATTATTCATATAAAAATTTATTTATATAAAACAATTGAATTAAAACTAATTTATTGTCAAAGAAATATTGTATTCTATATTTTACAAAATAATGTTTAAATTAAATTCAACTATAATTTAATAATAATAATTTGTTGATTGTGTGATCATTTTTAAAAGTTATTGTTATATTAGAAATGGCGCATGTGTTAACAATTGTCAATGATTGTCAATATACATGTTTGAATGTGGATTCTGTAAAAAATCAATAACAATATTCTAGTTGTATATACTATGATAGTATTTTTGTAATACATATATAATATAAGTTACAATAAAATAATTTACTATTATATATATATAAGCTTTACATTTAATATATAAATCCACAGTATATATAAACTAAATCATTGAATAACTAAAATAAAAAATTTGCATATTTAAAATAATAATAAAAATTATTATAAATTAAATTTTTAAAAATAAAAATATTAACAAAAACCAGTTGAGAATGCTAAAAAGCATTTCCATACGAACTCCTTATCCAAAGTAAATTTTACTGATGTTGGGTATCAAATGATTTAGTATGACAAAATAAACTCAACTATAGTCATGTGAGTTATCAAATGATTCAGTATGACAAAATAAACTCAACTATAGTCATGTGAGTTATCAAATGATTCAGTATGACAAAATAAACTCAACTATAGTCATGTGAGTTATCAAATGATTCAGTATGACAAAATAAACTCATTTTTAATTCTCTACAAAATTCTTAACGTTAAAATTTTTAACTAATTTTTTTCTTTGACCATTTTTTCTATCTTCCCGAAGAGATATCAAAATTTTAAAGCATATTTTTTATGCTTGTTTTTGATGCTTTATTCAAATCTATACTCAAAAATTTTTACCTAAAATTTTTTTGACTGGCCGCCATTTTCTCTATGTTCCCGAAGAGATATCAAAATTTTAATGCTGATCCCCTATACCTTATTTTTGATGCTTAATCCAAATCTGAAGTCATAATTTAAAAATTCAATAAAAAGCGGACGGACGGAAGGACGGAAGGACGGAAGGACATATAGAATTCAGATACGTACTCCTTTCAGGAGTTCGTGAAAAATAAATCTTTATATTATTATAATACATAAATTAACTATTATTTTTTACAAAGCTATAAAATTTATAGTATAAATATAAAATATAAAATATATATTATAGGTGGCGCTTGTATTATTCAAATATTTTTTAAAGTCTGATATTAACTTAATATTATTAAGTACTGCATAGGTATTATCTCTTAGTTATTAAATAAAACAATAATTATAATTAAAGATAAACAATATAAATACTTATATTATTTTTAATCAGTTTAAGTTTGCTATTAAAAATACAGCAAATAAAATATTACTTTCTATAATAATTAATTACAGTACAAATAAATAGTTGTTTTAGTTTATCTGGAATTATATTATAATTAAAGTTAATATATATTTCATAAATTATATTTTAAGAGAAATTAAAATGTTAAAAATTTTTGCAAATTTATTATTTTTTATATTAATTACTTATACGTGTAGTATTCCAGATGTGCCGTTTGTATTGTTAAACAATGGCCAGAAAATGCCTATCGCTGGCTTCGGTACCAGTTTTGCAACCGAGCAGTCAATTAGGGACGCACTGGAAGCCGGATACAGACATTTTGATACATCACTTAATTATATGAATAAAGATGAAACAATACAAATGGAAATAGTTATGGGAAATGTATTCAATGATGTTATTAGTAGTGGAAAAATCAAGAGAGAAGAGTTGTTTATAGTCAGCAAATTAGAGGAATGGGATCACCAGAGAGATAGAGTGCCCATTGCTATTACACAGTCATTGACTAATCTGGGACTCGACTATTTGGATCTGTATCTCATTCACGGACCCGAGTCTACCGAACGCAAAAATGTGAGTCTAGTTGAGACTTGGATGGGAATGAATGATGTGCTAGAATCAGGATTAACCAAATCTATAGGCGTTTCCAACTTTGATAGGACACAAATCAGGAGTATTTTGGGCACAGGTGTGGTTCCAGTTACTAATCAAGTCATATCTAATCCATACTGGACACAGAAACCAATGTTAGCATATTTGCAAAGTCATAATATAACAATGACTGCCTATTCGCCAATGGGTGGCATAACTGATCCAGATTTGCTTAAAGATGCCAAACTAAATGAGATAGCTCAATTTCATAGGGTTAGTAATGCTCAGATAGCCATGAGATATCAGATCCAACGTGGAGTCATTGTTATACCAAAAGCTAATCATCAAAAATATATTGTCCAGAATTTAGACTTATTTTCATTCAATTTATTAGACTATGAAATGACAGAAATCGAGGCATTAAATAAACATTAAAATTTTATATTGTATTTGTAAACATAATTTTGGATTTTTATGAATATATTTTTTATTTATATTGTCTAACGTTGAAGTGAAATAAAAATTGATATATTAAATAAACATTAAATGATTTTAAAAAATATTATTTTTATTTAATTTAATATAAACTTTATTAAATAATAATTTTAATGTTTTTTAAAAATATAATCTTCTAAATCTAAGTTTACTTTAACTCAAGTACTTTATTATTTTATTATTTCAAATATTAAAAACAATATTTGCTAATGATAAAACATAAAAATAAAAATTATTACTAGTAATCAATTTATAAGTTATAGTTAGAAATAAAAAATAAATTAAAATATTAATTTTTTAATTAGTTCATATAATTATTAATCACAATTAAAATGCATAAAATATTTATAACTTTAATAGTTTTTATATTAATTACTCATACGATTAGTACATTAAAAGTGCCGTTTGTATTGTTAAACAATGGCCAGAAAATGCCAATCGTTGGTTTCGGTACCAGTTATGCAACAGAACAGTCAATTAGGGACGCATTGGACGCCGGGTACAGACATTTTGATACATCACTTGAATACATGGATAAGAATCAGACAAATCAAATGGAGAAAGTTATGGGAAAAATATTGAAAGACGGGATCATTAGTGGAAAAATTAAGAGAGAAGAGTTGTTTATAGTCAGCAAATTAGAGGAATGGGATCACCAGAGAGCTAGAGTTCCCATTGCTATTACACAGTCTTTGAAAAATCTTGGACTCGACTATTTGGATCTGTATCTCATTCACGGACCCAAGTCTACTGAACCCGAAAATGTGAGTCTAGTCGAGACTTGGATGGGAATGAATGATGTGCTAGAATCAGGACTAACCAAATCTATAGGTGTTTCTAATTTTAATAAAATACAAATTGAGTGTATTTTGGGCACAGGTGTGGTTCCAGTTACTAATCAACTTATATCTAATCCATACTGGACTCAGAAACCAATATTAGCATATTTACAAAGTTATAATATAACACTGACTGCTTTCTCACCACTGGGTGGGGGTGGCATAGATGATCCACATGTTGTAGACGATGATAAAATCATTGAAATAGCTATTTCCCATAGGGTTAGTCCGGCTCAGATAGCACTGAGATATCAAATCGAAAGGGGAGTCATTGTTATACCGAAATCTAATCATAAAAATTACATAATAGAAAACTTAGATTTATTTTCCTTTAAATTATCTAATGATAATATTAAACAAATTGAAGCATTAAATAAACATTAATAGTTATTTATAATATTTATTATAAACTAATACATTATTATATTTACAAATATAATTTACATTTTAAATATAAAATTGTAATTATTTTATTGTTAACATTAATATTTTTAATATTAATTTCTATGATCTACCTATAATAAATCAATATATGATAAATTTTAGAAAAAACATTAATTATATAAAATTTCTTATTTTTATTAAATGTAATTTTTTAGTGTAATTTAAAAAATAAATTTTTAATAGTAAATCATATATAAATATTCAAATATTTGTTATACACCTTTATAATTTACAAACATTTGCTAAACATAGGCACAACATATCTTATCGTAATTTATAAAAATTGTAACCTAAAAATTAAGTCTAATTTGTAAACTTGAAAATAATAAAAGATTAGAAATAATTATCACAAACAGTAATTCTCAAGTGTTTTACATTTGATTTTATTCATTAATATATTGTATGAATATTTATTGTAGATATTATTATAAAAAAAACATTATAAAAGCTCTAATTAAAAATAGAGTTTGGTATACATTTAAAAATAGTTTATTAAATATTAGTTTAATTTTTTTAAAGAAAAATTTATAAAAAAAAATATGTATAAGTTGTCTCTGACATTATTAGCAATTATATTAGCATTTAAATGTATATCAGCCGATATACCGACTCGATTGCTAAATAATGGCCAAAAGATACCGATTGTCGGGTTAGGCGCCGGACACGTCACAGAAGAGTCTGTACGGTCGGCATTGGAGGTCGGATATAGACATATCGATACATCGCTGAATTACGGAGACTCGGAGATCATTATTGGAAAGGTATTGAAAGAAGTGCTAAAAGATGGAAAAATCAAACGCCAAGACCTGTATATTGTTAGCAAACTTGAGACTGAATATCACACTAGAAGTCGAGTACCGGAAGGTATTAAAAAATCACTTCAACGCTTAGATCTCGACTATTTGGATCTCTATCTGATCCATAGTCCCGACTCACAGCCGGCCAATATAACAGTTGGCGAAACGTGGCTCGGGATGATTGATGTACTCAAAGCCAATCTCACCCGATCTATTGGTGTCTCCAATTTCAATCAAAAACAGTTGGATGAAGTCATAGCCAAGGGTGTTGTTCCGGTCACCAATCAGGTCATATGCAATCCATATGTTAACGAAAGAAAGTTGTTGGCCTACGCCGACTCACACAACGTCACGCTTACCGCATACTCGCCGGTTGGCGGCCGAGCATATCCTGATCTATTGAAAGATCCAAAGCTTATAGAGATTGGCAACAAATATAAGGTGAGTTCGGCTCAGGTAGCTCTCAGGTTTGAGATTCAAAGAGGTGTCATCGCTATACCGAACTCACAAAACCCTAAATATATTAAAGAAAATATTGATGTGTTTGGCTTCAAGTTGACCGATGAAGACATAAAAGCTATTGAAGCTCTCAATAAAAAGGATTCATAAAATTGCAATAAAATAAAATGTTAATAAATAATAATAATCTAATTCTTTAATATATCTATATTTAATTAAACTAAAAACTAAGTTAATTAATTAATTTAGTTGACAATAACAACAATTTATAAAAAATAAAAATGTAGATTATATTAAATACTGAATTTATTGTTATTAATTTAATTATAAAGACTTGTGATATTATTAGTATTTTCATCAGTTAATTATTGTAGTTATTAAATAATTGCATTAAAAATTTTATCATTTTTAAATTCATTTTTAATTTAATCTACAGTAGTAGTACATAATTATAGTATTTAAATGATAATAATATTTATTGATATTAATTAATATATAATTTTGTATTAACTAAATGATACAAATTTTAAGTTATTATTAGATACTTAACAATATTAAATTTTATATTACATTATTTATTGAACTCAATAAATAATAATAGAAGTAGACTTAAATATAGATTATAATGACATCAATAGATAGTGAACTTTAAATATATTTTTAATTTCCCATCACTTTATAGGTGCAAATATTAATATTCAGTGCATATAAACTTACTATAAGTTTCATATTTTTGTTATCCAATGGTTATTTAATTTCTAATTTTCAAAAAAAACTTGAAAAGTTTTGTTTACTGAAATCTATAATGGCTTTTTGAGTCTGTGTGTGTGTGTGTCGCATATTTTTTTGCGAAAATTCTGACTTCAGATTCGGTTAGAGGACTACTAATAATGTATTGAAAAGTGGCATTAAAATTTTGATATCTCTTCGGGAACATAGAGAAAATGGCGGCCAAAGTAAAGAAAATTTTAAGAAAATTTTTTTAAAGTATAGATTTGAATAAAGCATCAAAAACAAGCATCAGAAATATGCATTAAAATTTTGATATCTCTTCGGGAACATAGAGAAAATGGCGGCCAAAGTAAAAATATTTAGGTAAAAATTTTAACGTTTAGAATTGTATAGATCATTAAAAATAAGATATTATAGATCAAAATTATCAATATTTAAAAAGTATGATTATAGTTGTTTATTTTGTTTATTTTGTCATACTGAGTCATTTGATGCCGTACATGACTAAAGTTGAGTTTATTTTGTCATACTGAGTCATTTGATGCCGTACATGACTAAAGTTGAGTTTATTTTGTCATACTGAGTCATTTGATGCCGTACATGACTAAAGTTGAGTTTATTTTGTCATACTGAGTCATTTGATGCCGTACATGACTAAAGTTGAGTTTATTTTGTCATACTGAGTCATTTGATGCCGTACATGACTAAAGTTGAGTTTATTTTGTCATACTGAGTCATTTGATGCCGTACATGACTAAAGTTGAGTTTATTTTGTCATACTGAGTCATTTGATATCAATATTTAATTTATGTATATTTGACGTTTTTTAAATTTTTAAATGTTACTCTATAGCCGCTATAATTATATAAACGTATGGTTTTCAATGCTATTCAAGTTTTTTTTCTGAAAATGCTTTCTAGCATTCTTAACTGGTTTATAATTGATTTATGTTTAATAAAAATAGAAGAATTATATTAAAAATATCTAATGAAGAAAATATTAATAATTATCATTATTTTATTAGTATTTAAAAGTATTATAAATGATTTTTAACAAATCAACATTAAATAAATTTATCAAGGTAATAAGTTTTTTGCATAATTTAAACACGTGATTACAAAATTTTGTTTAAGTACTTGTTAAGTAAATTATTAGTGCTAAAATTAAGTATTGTACAGTATATGGAGCATCATGATAAAAAGTACTCAATTAAAATGTACCTGCTTAATTTATTTATTTAGTTTATTCACAGACAAGTTATTTCAAATAGTGTAGAGTTTTACTATAAAATATTCATATATATATACTGTATATCCTGTATATAAAAAATAAATCATTTTTAATACAAAATTAAAAATACATTTTAAAAATTGGTAAACATGTATAACATATTTATAACACTAATTGTTTGTGTATTTTGCGGTACACAAGCAACCAAAATACCGGATCGATTGCTTAACAATGGTATGAAAATACCGATCGTGGGTTTGGGAGCCATGGATATCACGGAACAAGCGGTTAGAGATGCTATTGATTTGGGTTATCGACACATCGATACATCACATAACTATCATACGTCGGACAAAAAGAATTGGTCAGAGATTATCATTGGAAAGGTATTGAATGATGTGTTCAAAACGGGAAAAATCAGACGACAGGATATGTTTATTGTTAGTAAACTGGAGGCTGACTATCATCAGCGACAACGGGTTGTGGTTGGGATTAAAGAGACACTTACTAATCTGGGACTCGACTATTTGGATATGTATTTAGTACATCACCCAAATTCGTCAGCACCGGTCAACATCAGTATTACTGAGACCTGGCAGGGAATGATCGATGTTTTGCAAGCCAACCTCACCCGATCAATAGGTGTATCCAATTTTAATGAACAACAAATCGATGAAATTAGTAAATTGGGTGTTATACCGGTCACCAATCAGGTGCTCTGCAATCCATATGTCGTACAGAAGCCGCTATTGGCCTATTCAGACAAACATTATACTACACTGACCGCATACTCGCCGATAGGCGGTTCCCGATATCCGAACCTATTAAAGGATCCCAAACTTGTTGAGATTGCCGGCAAACATAAGATAACGGCGGCTCAGGTGGCGCTCAAATTTCAAGTACAAAGGGATGTCATAGTTATTCCCAAAGCAAATACATTAAAATATTTGAAAGAAAATTTGGATTTATTTTCGTTTTCATTGACTGATCAGGAAATTAAAGATATCGAAGCTTTGAATAAAAGAAATTAAATTTTTTTATAAATAAAAAAGTAATTATATATTCATTAAGTAAAATCTCTATAATATATAATTTATTTTTATAATTAAATTTATTTAGTTTTTGAGTATTGTTGCAAATAATTTACGTTATAATAAATAAAAAAAACATATTGTTATGCAAAAAGCAATAATTATGAGTGACATTGAATTTAATGTATAAAATTTTAATTTACTTAATACTACTATTATTATTATTATAAATATTAATTATAATATATTTAATACAGTACATTAAAAGTATAAAATTAATTAATAGGAGTATATGTTAAAAATTATTTATTTAATTATTATTATTAATAATTTTATAATTGAAACAATGTATATTTATAGTATGAATATTAATAATATTTTAACTTAATTAATAATGAATGTAACTGTAATTAAGTTTAATTATACCTTATTTGACTACAAAAGTATTTATTTATTATTTGTACACTACTTTTATTTTTTATTTATATTATTTGTTTAGTAACAAAAGTACTAATTAAATTAATGAACTTTAATTTTTTAAAATCATTTTATATTAATTATTATTTAATATACAAAAATTATTAATTAACAAAATAAATAATGAAATATTTTTTTAAACTCATTGTTCGGGAAAGCTTTGAAATATCTCAGCGATAGTAATAGATATCGATTTAGTTCTCTTGAGATTTGACCTCTTTTTGGGCGGTTTTCCCAATTTATCACATTTGTCGCTATCGTCGGCATAATCGCCGCAAAAGAAATTGAGTGCATTAGAAGTGGTCGACTCCACGAACTCATCCAATGTCTGTAAATCTTTATCACCACAAATGTCCACATTTTTGGCCCTTTCGGTCAAACACTGTCTGAAACTGTAATATTCACTATACGATAGACACACAAACACATTAAGAATTAATCAATAGACTACTTGTCCAAAAATAGGTACAGTATATCTTACCAACAGGTATGCGGTATCTTAAGCTTGTCGTCCACAGTCAAGACTCCCTGCAAGTGATCGATGAAAACGTTATGACATTTTTCCAATTCAAACGTTGCTTTATTGAAACATTTGGATCCGACCATAAACTCCATACCTTTTTTCGAGTTTCGTTTACACATACGGTTGACATTACTTTTAAGTGTATACATCATAATAGCGAAAAACTGTTTCGGTAAACCCTTTTTGCAACGTTTCGTATAGTTTTCCAGAACCTTTAGGTCGGCTAACTGTGCGCTAAGTTTGAAAAAATAATGTTTTTTTTTATAAATATTGATAATAAATATTAAAATTTATATTAAATTATTACTAATTGATATAATAATAAATAGATATAATTGTATAGTAAACCTGCAATATTTTTGCATTTCATCATCGTTTTCGGGAAAACGTCGGCTATTGTTTCCGTACCCAACCATATGTCCAAACATTGTGTCGGCCGTCCTCTCGGAGCTCTTATTGCACGTCAATTGTACACATAAAACATGACAAACAATATATAATAAATTAATTACTAAAATTAATTTGATAGACATAATTGTTGTCAACTTTTTTCACTACAAGATTAGGACATTTAAATTGGATTATATAAGAGCAATGAATTTTGTTTATATTTAATATATGATAAAAACTATCAGCAAATGTGTTGTCTAGAGAAGTGAATTACTTTTGAACTACTATTGATTGAAACGATTACCGAAAATCCTAATAAACTTTAAACTAGTTTATTGCATGACATTTGTATTGATATTATTAAAATTTATTTCATTAAACTTTTATTATGATTTAATATTTTAAATACAGTAAATAATAATCTTTATTTTAATATGGAAAAAATTGTGTTTTACACTCAATATATATTTAAATTAATTTTTAAATATTCATATTCATATTTTATTAAATAGTGTATTACATGAAGTTTCATAAAATATTTTTTGTTTTTGATAAAATAAGCCAATTGTGTAAAACAATTTAATGATAGTGAAAGTTAAAATGTAATTTTTTTTATTTGTTTTTACACTGAAAACTTTAAGACTCTATCTTATTATTAATGTGTGTCACATATTATTTTCATATAAAATCAGGTTATTGTTCAGGAAATTGAAGTTTTCCAATGAATTTATTTTTTTAATTAATCAGTATAATTCATTTATCAAAAATTTTTTACTAATTTTGACATTAAATATATATAAATTTTTATTACATTATAAAATAATAATTTATGATCTTCAACAATAATGATTCATTATTAGTAATTTCAATCAATATATTTTAAGTATTTTAAAAATGTATATAAAAACTAATAATCAAAAATTATATTATTTTCCATATATTTTAGATATAGATATATTTTTTATATTTATTAAAATAGCAGTTTTATTATTTCACAATTTATTTTGTACAGTTCATGCTAAAAAATATTAAAATTTTGACTATAAATTTAAATATATTATAAATATATTTAATTAGTCATAAGGGCGTCAATTATTGTTTGTAACCAAAAAGTAATTGTATTTTTGGTTAAAAACTACATATATTTGAGTAAATTATTTTTATTTACTATACAGTATACAAATGTTAATTGTTATGTATATAACAAAATAGTATTATTAATAAATGCAAGACTTTATTGACTATTTGAAGGATGAGTACAAACGTGGGATTAATTATGATTTTTACACAAAAATGATGAAAACATTTTTATAATGAATTTGGCTTTTTATTTGTAACTCATATGCAAATATGTTTGTCTTTTTATGTACAGTTAATTTTAGATATTTGGTAAAACATACCATAAAGTAATCAAAATATAGATATAATTTGTTTAATAGTTGTATTGTATATTTAGTTAAATAATTTGTTTTATTTGATTTTTTAAAACATTTTACAACAATAAAGTATATAATGAATTTGTAACTTAATTTAACTTTTTTTAACTACTGTTAACAACACAAAATTTTTATTTAATCAAGGTTTGATAATTATTTTTTTTATATAAATGTACAGTTTAATATTTTATTATTTTAGTGAGTAAGTTGGAGTAATTTATAAAATTTTAAAAAATAAATTAATAAATATTGTATTTAAAATTCTAAAGTGTTAAAACAAATATTAAAATGAAGGTAATTATTTATTTTATTTTTATATTATTATTAAATAATATTTAGTTTTCTGTTATTTTATATTAATAATATTAACTTTTAAAACATAAATATTTTTAAAAATAATGTTTTATTTATTATTATAATTATTATCTATCTATATATATATATATTCAATTACATTTTTATAGTCAATGTCTCAAATTATCAAAAATAGTAATCAATGAATAAATCGTTTCATAAATTATTTTATTATTTAATAACCTAATATTATAGCATCACAAATATGCAATTATATTGTTATTTTAAATAAAAATATCACGTTGTCAAATTAATAAAAATAGGTTATTTAATAACAATTATTAATAAAAATTTATTGATTAATAGATAAGCTATCAATGAGAGAATTATTTTTAAAATTAAATATTTTAAAAACCATGTAATAAAACAATAAAAGTAATTTCTAATTGTTTATTAGTTATGGTTTGAGATCAATAAAAATTGATTTTCAAAATCACATAAAACTATTTATTTACAATATGACTGCCAATTGTCCATTATTTAACCGGAAAATTTGGTTTAATAAATTCAAAATGTCATGAATTATCATAATACAAAACATGACAAATTGTTAACTTTTTTTAATCATTGAATAATTGAAGTATATTTTATATTAATTAAATAATATATTTTTATAATGTTTTTTTTATTATTTTTAAGAACTGATAATTTAGTATAGTGTAGTAAGATAATAATTAAGTGCAATAATACTTAAATTAATTAATTTTCTGGTTATTGCAATTAAATTGTAATAATTATAATTTATCCAGAGCATATAAAACAATAAGTTGGCAACGCTATATAGTAAATAGATATCAATATATTTTTTACACTAAAAAAACTAATTTGTATTGTATATGTCAAAAATATATTTAAAAAACATCATATCATAACTAGTTTAGTTAATTTAGATCCAAACTTTTCTCATTATTTTATTCAAATCAAAAAATCAAAAATAAAATATGAAAAAATGTTGACGTTTTGTTTTTAGTATATTACTCAATTAAATTTGTATAATTTATAAATATATTTTATTTTGTCACATTTAATATAACAAATGTATTTTTTATTTTTATTTTAATATTATTTTTTTGCATTAAAATTACTAACAATGATAATAACTTTATAAAAGTATATCAAGGAAAAGACATTTTTTATATATTATATTGTATTAACTCATATTAACATTTATATTCAAAATCTTTTTTGCAAATATTTTCTTTATTCATAATATATTTATTATTATTATTTATATAAAAAAATAACAATTTTCTTATTGATTTGTATCTCTAATTTGAACTACAAATATATAATATATATATTAATTTTGTTATTATTAATAACAAATAATATCTCACAATTTCAAGGGAAACGCTTTTTTAAATATAATATAAAAAATATATTATAATTGATTGCAATTATCTATAAATTATTTTAAGAATAGAATTTATTTTATGATTTATATATTATTACGAAAAAATATTTTATTTAAATATTTAAATGACATGTATCTCAATGTTGGAATTTTTTATTAAAGACTTTACATACATAAAATATTTTGAATTTATAATTTAATTATAAAATTTAACTATTTTATTGTTTATAAATTAATATAATAAAACAATTTTTAATTGTATTTACAAAAAATACATAATAAATCATAATCTAAATAAAAACTAAATTGACTAAACAAATAAATATAATTAAAATATCATGTTTATAAATGCTATTATATAAATTATAAATATACAATACTGTAAATTAAATTAAAATCACTGGATTGTGAAATATTTATTATTATTCTTATCTTTTTATATATATTTTTGAACTTATCCATCAAAAATATTATATAAAATATAAAGTGTAAAATACAGTATAATATAATCAATTTTTAGAATAAATTGGAAATAAACATAAATAGATAAAAACAAGTCAATTGATATTTTTCAATAACAATATTTTTTCATTATATATTCATATGTTAAGGTCAATTATATAAATTTGTATTGTAGTGTAATATTTTCTATGCAAAAATATAAATTTCATAATTGATTGTTTTTAATTTGTATTATTTAACTAAAAACAAATACTATATTTAATGAAAGCTTTTTAATTCACATTTATTATATTAAGCAATTGCATAACTAAAATATAATAATTATATGACTAGTACTACTAATAAGTGTGTGATTTATAATTAAACCACACATATTTTATTTAATATTAATATATGCCCACAAATCACAAATTTCAATCAGACAACTAATAATGTAATTACAGGTTTGAATGGTATTTGTTTTGCAAAAAATATGATAATTTATTTTATGTGATTTATTACAATCTATTTTTATATTATGTAACTTTTATTTATTATTCTACATAAATATATTGTAAACTATAATAGTTTTCACTAAAATTAAAAATTATACTTTTAAATTGTATTTTACATAACTTTAAAATGTGATAATTAGAAATGTTTGTAAAATATAACTTTTTATTTTTTTTGTTAAAGTATTGTTATTTAAATAAAATAAATAAATATTTATAACATTATTTTTAAACAATAAAACATAAAAAATAAATCAAAAATTAAATCATCTTTAAAAAACTAATATAATGACTCTACATTTAAAAATTTGATTTTATTATTTCAAAAATATTATTATTTATATATATATATATATAAATATATACTATAACTCTGCTCTAAAAGAAAACATTTATTTAAATAATAAAAATAAAATTTTTCAATATTTTCACATAATCTATTATTTTTTTATAGTTTATTTTTTCAAATTTCTATTATTATAATAATATTTTTATTATACTAAACAAAACTATTTATTAAAGTCCTTGCCCTCGATATCCACATTTTGATAGCATTCCCCATAACTAATCCGCACCTGAATTGTTTGATAGATATGCTAAATAAAATCCCAAATAAATGTTTTAAGTTAAAGCAATAATAATCATAATAATTAAGTGATTTATTATACGATTCGCTACCAATTGATTAACAAGAAATAAAATATTAAACAAAACAAAAATTTAAAGCTAACCGACCGCTAACTCCTTAATAGACTCGTTTAATAAAATTATTGTTTCAAATATTAAAAACATTTATTTCAAATAAAAATAACATTTAGATAATACTAATTCACTGTCAAACTTAATGAAAGTTTAAATTTTTATTTAATTAATGTTGTGTAACTTAAATTTAAAATTTTTTAGCAATTGAATCAAAAATTTATTTTTATAACAAAATGTTATTAAAAAAGATTATATTATAAAATAATTTTCATGTGAATAATTGTGATTTTGCTAATTTATTAATAATAACATATATTATTAATGTGAATAATGATAAATTTTACCGATACCTAATGTACATCTATTTATATACATAATGATTATTAAGGTTTGTATAAAA